TGGCAGTTTCTTACACATCTTAAATAATTTTAACATATGAGTCAGCAATCAGGCTCCTATCTAACCTATTGAGCTGCAAACGTCTCATTTGTCTACACAAAAACCAGCCCACAATGTTTATAGCAGCTTTATTCATGAGCATGAAAAACTGGAGGCAACCAAGATGTCCTTCAATGTGAGTGAATGGATAAACAAACTGGTATATCCATACAATGGAGGAGTATTCAGAAATAAAAATAAATGAGCTATCAAGCCACAAAGACAAAAAGGAACTTTCAACTGCATATTAACTTTAACTCAGTGAAAGAGGCCAATCTTTAAAGGCTACGTATACTGATTCTAACTATGACATTCCAGAAAGAACTACAGCAACAGTAGAAAGATCAGTGGTAGCCAGGACAGATTTTTTTTAGGGCAGTGAAACTATTCTGTATGATACTGTAATGGTAGGCACATGTCATTATGCATTTATCAAAACCCACAGAACTATACAATAGGAGTGGCCTTAAACTCTGCATCTTAGTAAATAATATTGATTCATTCATTGTTGTACATATGCCACACTAATGCGAGATGTTAATAACTGGGAACACTATTCAAAGTGGGGTGTGAGTATATGGAACTCTGTACTATTTGCTCAATTTTTCTGTAAGTCTAAAACTGTACTAAAAATAAAGTCTTTAATAACTTTAAAGTGCAGGTTATGAAATGGTATGTTATATGATCCCATTGTTGTGATTGTGTTTATGTGCATAAAATAATTCTGAAAGGTCATAACCAAAAGTTATCTTTTAAAATCTTGACTTATCTTACTACTGGTATTCCTTTGCTAAAGAAAAATATGGAAATAAGAGGAACGAGACTTTATGAAAATACTAGGTGGGTTAGAAAGGATCCACTGAAGATTAAATCTGTTAAATGCTGACAGGCACTACTATTTTGAGTACAGACTTATCTGATGTGTAATGACCATTCCATTAACAAATGGCACTTGAAAAGTGACCTCTTTTTTGGACAGCTTTCTTTTTTGGTATAACGACTTTTTCACTCTCAATATTCTAAATTTACAGATTATAAAAAGTGACATTTGGACATTATGGTTGTAGGCAGACATTCCAACTCAATTGACACAAGTTTCTAGTCAGAGTAAGACATGAAACAAATCTGAATCGCATGCCGTATTTGGATGAACACAATGACTTTGGTTTCCATAGTATCCCAAATGAGGTATGAAAAGGTAGGATCTTTTGTGATTCTTCATGCTTTGCTCATGCCCTAATTTCCTGTTTTGAAGCGCTCTCATGTTTAGCCTCCACTTACTTTTCTCTTAATTGTTCAATTTCAGTTGTCCCCATTACCGCCCCCCGCCACTGCTCTACCCTGCTTCATTTACTTCTAAAAAAGATGCCAGTTTATGTTACAACTTTATTTTTTTAAGTACAATTTGAGTACAGAATAACCATGAGCTAATCTGAAATCTCTGGCTTGGTCTATCTATTGAATATACAGTATTTGCAAACAAAACTTTTGAATCAGTTTTACGTTCTGGAAAATTGCATCATGTCCTGATACACATTTAGGACGCTGAGGAACTAGAAATATACCAAATACAGTGGATGGAAAAATCACACAGATTGTGGAGTACCATTATCTACTATTATTAGTACCATCTAGCACTGTTAGAAAAGCTAAAAAAGGCAGCATGGAGGATGTCAGGAAGGTTGCTAGATGAATGATTTATCAAAGAATTTTATGGAACATATAAATGCTGTATAAGATAAAAATTAAGGAAGCAGCATCCACTAATTCTTAAGGAAAGGAAAATTATGAAGTATGTCTAATTCTAATGTTGAATACCCGCATGCAAGTCCATCACCTGCCCCTCAACCAAAAAAAATGACTTGCTCGCACTTCTTCACCATTGCCCATGATCGAGTCTTCTTTCACAAGCACATAAGCCTTCTCACATTATATTTTACATAGGAACTGTAGTTATAAACTCATTTTCATTTTTCAATTGATACATCTGGATGCACACCAGCACGTTTCCCACTGCTATCAGTTCTTTACAAATACCGCCTCATGTAATCCTCACACTAATCCATTAATTGTGTAGTAATCACCCCCTCCACTTAATGGACAAGTAAATGGTTTAGATACATAGACAATAACTTGTCCAAGGTCACAGAGCCAGGTGAGTGGCAGTCAGGATTCAAACCTCAGCAGTTTGGCTCCAGTCCATCTTCTACTATACTTTGCTGCTTCCCATTTTTTATTTACAAATAAATATCTGCTTTTGCTTTCAGATGACAATCTTCCTTTTCTCTCCTGAAATACCATCTCTCTTTCTTTTCAATGTATATAGTTCAATTTATGGCCACTGGTCTTCTATCATAAAATGTTCCATTCTAGAGAATGTGGAACAGTAGGAAATAGAGATGTATTTTCCCTTAATTTGAGGCAGAAAAAGCAGAGACTCTTTTCTTCAAATTTCTTATTCCCATTTTCTTAAATGCTAAAAGTGAAAGTGAAGGGTACTTTCTGATCCCGTAAACAATTAAAATATTTCATCACGATTTTATTAAGCCTCATGCTTAATGTAGTTAGCACGGAAGCCACCCTGAAGCAAAAACTATAATAACCGCCCAACTGCACATTTAAAAGTTTTCAATAACCAAAAGAGAACCAAGAAGACGCCACTTCATGGTTCTGTTAAAGCAAAGGTATTTTTCTACACTTAGAAATTAATTCTGTGCAGTGTTAAACAATAAGATGGTTTTCATTTCTGAATTTTAAGGGCAATTATAATGAATGGAAAGGCATAGGGCAGAAGAGACAGGAAAGAAATCAGGCTCCGAGAGTGATGGAAAACGTGCAGGGAGGACAGAACATGCTTTCTTCCACAGTGGAACACCAATGTTTGATGAATATTCATAATCTACTAACTTAAAGCCAATATTCCAAAGAGATTAATATCCAGACTATGACCTTCATTTGGTGACTGAAGGTCCAATTTAGGCCCTACTTTGGCATTACGCATCTCAGATTTAAAGAGCTCTTATTTAAAACAATTTTTAATGAAAAGATCTTCAAATTTTCTTACAGGGTTAAAAAAAAGTTATTTCTCCAATTTTATGTAAAATCTTTTGTCCTTATTTCAGAAACTCTTTACATTTTTAAAAGATCAACTTGGGTCCCACTTCAGGTTTTAAAAATATTGACAGATAACATTAATAATACACAATTAGATGGGAAGGCAGGCAGGCAGGCGGGTTGATGTTTGCCTAGCACCACTGTATGCCAGGAACTGTCCTGCAAGGCTAACTCAATAAGACAGTGTCTATATTTTAGTTTATGACCACGTTTTAGCAACTTAATGCAGACCAGTCACCTAACAAATGTGTGCCAAGTGATTAGCAAATGGCCCACAACTGAGAATTCAACAAAGGTGACTTCCTAATACACATATTCTTTTTCAGTATTAAGGGAAAAAACGGACTCCCAAAGCAAATCAACCAACATTTTTATGTAGGTATTTCGCATCACACTAAACTACCTCATTACCCTGAACATCTTGTCTATTGCTTTAAATTTTTTGCTTAATGAAAAACATACCTATTTCAATTAATGCTTTATAGTCTCTATAATATAATATAGTCACATAAACTAGGATACAGAAATCTAGTTTAGTGCTACAGCTCCTTAGAACTCCCTTAGTGTAAACCCAAGGAACTGCTACACCCAGTCTATAACTAATAATCTCCTTAGTACTGTGTCTGAAATTGTCCCAGACTTTGTCTAGCATCGAGACATTTCATCCTACTATATGGTCCTACCACAAGCCATTGCTTATCTGCCTATTCCTCCTAGGCCTTCTAACATACAATTGTTTTTCGGGAACCAATGCTTAAAATGTTTGAAAATTGCACAGCAGTTAGGCACTTACATCTACCCCCTCCTCCTCTCAGGACTTTGGGACAATTTCATGACCTTGCAGGGTTACTGCTTCAGCATAATGGTTTCGAGATAGTGCAAGGTCTTTCTCTTCTTCTCCAACATATTTTTAAGGTCCCTTTTGCACCCCAATTTCCATCGGCCCACGAGGGCACTTATTTGATTCACCAGTGCCCCAGCAAAGCACCTACTTCGTGATAGGTGCTTAATAAACGTTCTGACTGAATCGAACAGCTCTTACAAGTGTTACTCCGCTCTACACTGGCCCATACAAACTCTGCCCAACACTGGGTGGTTTCAAAAGGCGTCAAGGACATAAAGCACAACTTAACCTTCCCCTAGACCTTGCCTTGGGTCCTCCCCTCCCCCTCACTTTGTGCGCCCAGGGAAAGACTGCATCACACTCCTTGCCTGGCACAGAGCAGGCGCTTCGGAATTACTTTTCAGATGAATGAATACAAAGCCGCCCTGAAATTAATTCTGATTAAAGAATCCCGAGGTCCCAGATGACAACTCCTCGTGGCCCTCACCCCGCCCCATCCCGCCTCAGGAAACGTGGCGTGACCTTGTGGTCTCTCGAGCTCCTTCGCGTGCGCCTTGCGACTTAAGAGGCGCTTCCTTCAGCCAGAGCCTCCCAGGGCCTCCGTGGAACCAGGGGCCCAGCTGGCCCTGCGACCCCTGTTCCGTCCCACTCGCCTGCACCCGATTCCCATTCTCTCTCATCGAGGTCTTCCATCCCTTGCAACATTCCCGTTCCTACCGCAAGCTGCCATACCATTGCGGCTGTACGGCCCAGGCCGAGACCCCAACGACGCCCGCCCGAGAAAACATGGTGGTAATGGCCCTGCTGAAGGTCGGTCAGACAGGCCTTTCTGCGCATGTGCAGGAGTTTCCCCACGCCCCCTCCCATCCCGCTTCCCTTTTCAATCTCGCTTCCTGGTGCCAAACTGACGTAAACCTCGCGAGCGTTGGGGGCCCAGGGCACGAGGCCCCACCTTTTTCCGGCTCGCAGCTGGTATTTGTCCCGCCCACCAATCAGTCCAGTTCCGTTTCCGGTCGGCGGTGAGCTGGCCCCTGAAGAGTTAGCGTTCGGGTGGTCGCGATGGGAAAGTCAGATTTTCTTACCCCTAAGGCCATCGCCAACAGGATCAAATCCAAGGGGCTTCAGAAGCTGCGCTGGTATTGCCAGATGTGCCAGAAGCAGTGCCGGGACGAGGTAAGCTGGCGCAGGGATGGCTGCAAGCCCCGTCCTCTCCCTTGGCTAGGTCTGGCAGCAAATCCGGATTCAAGTCCCTGATGTTGAGCGTGAAGGCGTGGATCTCAGGTCCCTAGTCATGGGCCTGTACTTAGAGAGTAAAGACGTCAACACAGTAGGGACATCCTCCCTTGCAGCCCCCGTCCTAGTGAGGAACCAGTGGTCTCTGACGCTTCTTTTCTCCCAGTCGGCCCCCCAAAGACATGGGAAAGAGAAGATTTCGCAGCTCTCATAGAAATGATTCCACTCAAAGTGTCGTAAAACGGAGGCTTAAATAATTAAATGTCGGGTTCGGGGCAATAACAGTAACAATCATCTCTGATGACTTGGCTCTTAAGATAAACATGGTTTGGAATCACACCTCATTTCAGGATCAGATGAAAAAGAAGGAATCAGTTCTTGCATGTTACTCATGTACCAATAATTTATGGAGCAGCTACAATATGCTAGGGCCAGGATATTATTGTGGTTAAGATGTGGACTCGCGTCAGACTCAGAATTGTGAAGCCTAACCGCACCACTTATTACTGTGGTATTGAGCAAGTTACATTCTCTCTGCCTATTTACTTAACTGTAAAGTGGGAGCAATAACTGTCCTTACTTGTAAGATTGTTGTGAATTTTAAATGAGTGGAATATGTGTATAGTCACTCAGGGGTTCTTTGGGCAGTTCTGGAAAAGTTTAGTGCGCCCTGCTATGGAGTTTACACTTTTTCCATTAATGAGGAAGATGATGGGTTGCCTTGAAGAATTGAGAGCAGGCCAGTGATGTGATCATATTTTTCTCTGGAGATTGAATTGGGTAAGGATGGAAGAATGCTGGGCAGTAGGAATAATCTAATCCATTGATTCTGCATGTGAGGTATGAGATATTTTGGATGGGACACAACAGTGAATAATATTGATACTGTTACTCATTTTCATTTCTCTTTAGATCTTGCTGTTTAAGCCAAGGTGAAATTTTCACACAGAAAACTAGAGACTAGTACATTGAATATCCATATACCCATTACCCAGATTTAACATATTAAGTATTTTGTCTTATTTACTTGTTCCTTATTTTAAAGTAAATTGCACACTGCAGGCTATTTCACCTCTAAACACTTAAATATGCACATCTAAAATAACCAGGATGTTTTTCTTCAGAGGCACAAGATATGTTATCACATATAACAAAATGAATAAAAATTCCTTTATGTCATCTGATATATCATACATATATTTCCTCAGTTCTTCCAAATGCTTTTTTAAGCAGTTTTTTAAAAAACCAAGAGCCAATCAAAACCTATGAATTGGATTTAGTTATTAGGGCCTTTAAAAAAAAAACTTCATTTTTTGAAAAGTTTTACATCGACATGTCATTATCACCAAAATCCATATTTACATTAGCGTTCACTCTTGGTTTTGGACAATCTTGGACAAATGTATAATGACATGTAACCCATTATAGTATTTTGCAGAGTAGTTTCACTGCCCTAAAAGTCTTTGTGCTCCATATTATTAGGACTTTTAATCCTCTCTCAATTCTAATTTTCAATAGTGCCCACTTCCTCTTCCCTTCCCTTCCACTTTTCTCTTGCCATTGTCTTGAAGAGCCCAGGTCAGTCAGTTTTCAGAGCATCCCCATTTTCTGGGGTGTGTTACATTGTTTCCTTGTAATTGTCTTTTGCCTTTTTTCTCTAACTGGAGTAGTTTGATTTCTCAATTAAGTTCAGATTAAATATTTTGGGGACGACTACTTCCTAGGTGATTCAGTGTATTTCATATTGCATCAAGTAAGGAATCCCATATGATTAAGTAAAATGATAGCCTGTAATGTTAGAAAGTAATGTTTTCCCTCTTGCAAGAGCAAGTAATTAGTAGGATGATACTTTGGAATCATGACCATATACCTAGTTTTCCATCAGCCTTTCACCTGTGTGTTTTAGCATCCTTGTCTGAGTCAATTATTTCATTAGGAGTTGCAGAATGGTTCTTTTTCTAATTCTTTCTACAATAAATTTGTTATTGGCTGCTATTTATTTGTAAAAATGAGCTTTTCCCCATTAGCTAGGGCTATTGGGTTATCCTCAAGTACAGTTCCAGTAAGAAAAGGAAGATAAATACTTAATCCTTTCCTTGAAGGCATTTGTGGTGGTTCTGGCCTGTTTGCCTTCAGAACTGTCTATTTCCCTTCCCTACCTGAAAGGACAGCCTGGGGCAGAAGAAGTTGACCCCAATAAATTTCTGCCTCTGTTTCCTGTCTCTCAATATTGGAAGATTGAAGGAGAGGAAGGTCAGGTCCACAGTTTCCATTCCTGCTCATCCACTTCTTTGGATTTCTAGGGTTTAATAACATTTTTTTTTGTTTTTATTTTATTGACTTATTTGTAATTTATGGAATATGGAACTGGTTATTCATTGATGAGACCAACACCAAGTTTCTTTTTAAGATACATTTAAGTAAGAGTAATGCATGAGTAGCACACAGATAGATGAGCAAGAATCATACAGGTGATCTTTGAATGACCAAAGATTAAGAAACAACCCAAATCAAGATCCAGTGTTAAAATCAGGATAGTGGCAAATGGGATTGAACAGAGAGACTGGATAAGAGTTATTTAGAAAGCTAAGTAGGCTCAGTAGTAAATGGAATGTGGGGTGATGGAGAAAGACACTAGGATGCCAATCTTGGTTTTGTCTTGGATGATTGGGTGTGTGATATAGTGCTGTTCATTGAGATGGGGGTTAGGAGAGGCTCATTTTTTCATTTCTATTGCTGAATCAGGTTCAAATGCTTAAGTTGAACAGATACAAAGTTAAAACTTGTATGCTTTTATAATCATCTGAGAAGATACAGATTTAGTATGTTTAACATTAGGTTTATGTTATATGTAACAATGTATTTTGGATACTAGCTAAAGTAGAGGAAAGTGAGTGAAAAATAGTATCCTTAATAGAAATTAATGACCCATTTTACTTCATTATATTCCTTGAAGCGTTTGTATAACTGAAGTAGGTGCTCAACAGGAATTTGTTAAATTGAGTCCAGGAAAAAACCCCTGAAATCACTCTTATGTTACTGTGCACAATAATCTTTCTTACTACTGTCCATTTTCTAAAACACCATTTTTCTGTCTCTTTAAGACTTGGGATTATTCTTTGATTAGCAGGGTTGCAAAACTCAACTTCTTAAAAAAAATAATAAAAATAGGTGTTTATGGCTAGTGATTTGATTAATTTTTACAGTTTATCATCAAAGAGCAACTTTTTACAGCTTAATTAAATACTTCTACTTAAGGCACTATATGATGACCTATCAGAATTTAACTACTGTCTTTACATTTTTTGTAGAATGGCTTTAAGTGTCATTGTATGTCTGAATCTCATCAGAGACAACTCTTGCTAGCTTCAGAAAATCCTCAACAGTTTATGGATTATTTTTCAGAGTAAGTAAATAAAATACATTCTTGGGTCATAAGCTTTATTCAGTTGGAAATTTAATAGATGCTTAGTATTTTATATATTGGAGGCTTTGTTTATTCCTTATATACTGACATGATAGCTGTGTTATCTTTGTGCTCAGTTTCTGTCTTCCTTAGACAATTTATCATAATATGAAATTGTTAAAAAAAAAACATGTTTTACACAATTCAGTTTTTTTTTTTTTTCACTTCAAACAAATGAAGCTATCTTTTCTTCTGAAATAGGTGTGGCTAAGAGCACATCTGTGGAGTCACACTTCCTGCCTTTAAATCCTGCAAACCTGGGTTTCTGCACTCATGAGCTATGTGACTGGGTGAAATTACTTAAGTTTTTCTGGGCTTTAATATCATCTGTACTAAATAGTACCCTCTTCCAAGTATTGTCTTTCCTTCATAGGGTTTATATGAGGTTGTATGAGTTAATACTTTTAAACTGTTTAGAAGAATGCCCAGTACTTAATAATATTAGCTGTTAATTATTATTAATAGTATTTAGTCTTGCTTCTATGCATCTCTTTTTAAAGTTCTAGACATCTTGATCTTAGGATCATTGTGAATACCGCCAGGGTACAAATGGCACACTTTGGGAATTACCATTCTGACAAGTGCCATCTACACTCACTGTCTTCCTTGCCACCTCCGTTCACTTGGTCCCATGTAGCTGCCTTCCGCCTCTGTCAGTCTCCTGAGGAGTCACTTGTGCCTTTTTCCTTCTTCCTCTTCCTTCATCTTTTCTCAGTGGGTAATGGCCTTAACTTGCAGTTGAAATACGTCTCTGATTTACAGTCTTCCCTGGTTTCTTTCTTACCACTCCCAGTGCTCACTTCTTCATTAACCCTTTTCTCTTCTAGCTCCTCCCATGTAGGAAGTCTTTCTGGGTGCCCTCTGGGCGTCTTTTCATCCCACTCCACACAGTCTCCATGAGTTAGGTTATTCTTCTGTTACCAGTATGTTTGTATAAACATAAACTCTGAAGTCTGGATGTTTATTCCTAACATCTGTCTTGAGTTACAGTTTTGTTTTATTTATTTATTTATTTTTTTCTGAGCAGTTCTAATCTGTATTTCTGAAGGCTATCTCAAAGTCAGCATTTGCGAAGCTGAAGTTAGAATTCTCCCCACCTTCTGGTTTCCTGTGCTGGCTAATAACTGCCTACACAGACCGCTAAGCTGCAAACCACAGAGTCCTCTGGTAATTCTCTCATGTGGATTCTCTTTAAAATTATGCCTTTTCTATTCTCACAGCCCCAGTAATCATCCTCAACATCTCCACCTAAAAGATTTCAGAGGCTTCTTCACTGGTCTCCCAACCTGCAGCTTCTGCTCCTCGTGCCCCTGTTCTGTGCCTGCGGTTCCCAAACCAGTGCATGCATTGGGATCACCTTGAGGGCTTGTGAGGGCAGAATGGCAGACCCCCACACCCACTTCCTGATTCAGTAGCTCTGGGATGGGCTGTAGACTTTGCATTTCTATCAAGTGCCCAGGTGATGTTGATGCTCTTGGTCTGGGACCACACTGTGAGAATTATTATTGTATATGCCCACCAGAATTATCTTTCCAAATCATAGATTTTTCACAGATTAACTCCTAAGTAAATTATTTTTATATTTTTCCATTATCTGCATAAAACCACCCTCTTTAGCATGACCTACAAGGTACTTAAAAAATTAGCCCTGACATATTCCAGCTATATCTTCGCCCTGTTATTCTGTTCTACCCCCACTCTCACACTCATTTTTATCTGCCTTAAACGTTAGCCAAATTTGATTGTCCTTTCTCAGACGTGTGAAGCTCTCCTGTCTCTGTGCCAACTGGAAATGACCTCCTTTTCTTCACTTTGTTAAAATGCTATTTATACCTCACCACCCATATTAAAAATCCTTCTAGGCACCTGTGAATATTTCCCTCAACTCTTCCTATGATACTTCGTAACATTTCTTTTTCAGTTTGACTTCTGTTATGATTGGATCTGCTAGATGATAACCTAGGGGAAGGCTTATGTTTTATTCACCTGTTTATCTAGCACTCAGTTCAGGGGAACACATTGGGTGCCACTTTCTTGTGGAATAAGGAAAGTGGTTTTGTTTTTGTTTTTGTTTTTGTCATCATCGCTAGAATGGGGTTGTTATGCCACAGTCCATAGTGTTAAGAGGCTTCATGAAGGACCCTCTCCAAAAATGTGTGGTCACCTTTGCTATGGCTGCTTTGCCAAGATAAAAAGTTTCAACTCCAAACTGATACGCAAATTTAATTCCTGAAGCTATAATCTTTTGGGACTCTTTCCTTGTTCAGTGTTTAATGGTTAATAACAGACATTGAATAAATGTTCCCTACATCATTTGAGAATTCAAACTGTACAGTGCCTTAAATTCCAGGAAGACAGTGCTTTATAGTTGTATAAATTAACTTAATGCTTTCCTTTCTTTATTAGGGAATTCAGAAATGACTTTCTAGAACTTCTCAGGAGACGCTTTGGTAAGCATCTTAAGTATTGTGCACATAATAACTTTTAGTCCTATAACCTGCTCAGGATCAACAGTTCCTTATTTTGTTCTTAGGCACTAAGAGAGTTCACAACAACATTGTTTATAATGAGTATATCAGCCACCGAGAGCACATCCATATGAATGCGACTCAGTGGGAGACCCTGACTGATTTTACCAAGTGGCTGGGCAGAGAAGGTAAGAATAAGACATATTTGAACAGTTGGTATGTGGCTCCATTGCAGGGAGAGAGTTGTTATAGTTTCTGTGTAAATTTATGGAAAAGAGGATGAAATAGGGTAATTAAAAGACTGGTGGAGAGGAGCATAATACTCCAGGGTTGATTTCTGTATCACAATTGCGTATGGTTATCTAGAATTGCTCTTTGGACAGTGTGAACATTTATCACTGAAGCCACCTCTCATTTAGATTAACGACTATTATTAATCCTCTTCTATTCCTCACCTCCCACCCCCTTATTCATTTCACTTTAGGAAACTTGTTACCCCTTATTAAGGAGATTTTTTATTTATTCTTTTTAACCTTTATTTTTAAAAGATTTTACTTATTTATTTCTAGGGAGAGAGGAAGGGAGGGAGAAAATGAGGGAAGGAAGCATCAAAATGCGGTTGCCTTTTATATGCCCCGAACTGGGGACCTGGCCTGCAACCCAGGCATGTACCCTGACTAGAAATCGAACTGACAACTCTTTGGTTCTCAGGGCAGCACTCAGTCCACTGAGCCGCACCAGGCAGGGCAGATTTTTTAAATTTATTGTTTCTTTTTCCATTTTTAGTCTTCATAGCATGAAAAATTGGGGAGAAGAAAAAGAAGGAAATTTTGTGTTAATGGGTTACTTACTCATGTGGGTTACTTTATTCCATTTTAGCGTAATAATTTCTACATAATTAAATGAGCAGAATATCACCTACTCATTTGATATTAAACACTTATACATAGTTGAATAATTACTAAGCAAGAAATACTTCTTTTATATGTTTTCTTTGTTTAAATATGTTGCCTCAACTTAGTTAAAAATCAGAACAGTAATTTTTTTATGTTCAAAGAGATAAAATATTCCACTTATAATATCTAAATCTTATTAACTATGAATATGGAAAATTCATGTACTGCATTAATTTGTGTATCTGAATGAATGAGTAAATAGTACAGAGATAAAACACATTTGTATTTACCTTTAGCTTTGATTGTATACAAATTTATGGTGTCCATTTAATTTTCTTAAGGCTTGTGTAAAGTGGATGAGACACCAAAAGGCTGGTATATTCAGTATATAGACAGGGACCCAGAAACTATCCGCCGTCAACTGGAACTAGAGAAAAAGAAGAAGCAGGACCTTGATGATGAAGAAAAAACTGCCAAATTTATTGAAGAACAAGTGAGAAGAGGTCTGGAAGGGAAAGAACAGGTGAGCCTGTGTTATTGAGAGAGGCAATAGAAAAAAGGATAAAGAAGCAAAATTGCTTGTTTTGTTAAGCATTGGATTCAGTTTTGTAGGTAATATTCATTCCTTAACTAGGAGACGAAGTACATGGCTGAAGTAAAAGCCCAGTTTTTGGAGTTGAGACAAACCTGGGTCAATCCCTGACATACTGACTTCACAATCTTGTGTAATTATTTTATCTTCTAAACCTCAATTTTTGTACTCTCTAAAAAGAAGCAAAAGTTAATGGGAAAGAAAGAAGCAGATAATTTCTCCCAATTGTAATTAACGCAGTGCTGGAGGTAAGCACAGGGTGTATGTAACATAGAGGGCCAGAGCTTACTCCAGCCTGGGGCAGATGTAAACTGTTTGAAGGTAGACATAACGCCTGGCTTGAGAAGTCTTGAATCAATGGTCAAAATCCAGGTAAATGGGGAAAGAAGGGCATGGTGGTGGTTCAGGGGTTAGAATAACTAGATCAAGGCATTTATTTCAACAAATATTTATTGGGTACCTCCTGTGTGCCTGGTGCTCATCTAGACACAGGGGATACAGCAGTGAACAAAACATTAAAACAAAAAAATCTTATAAAATAATTTTCAATTGGATGATATTTACAATACATATAATTTCTTTATTAGAGTCTCGATCATTTTCAAGTTATATCTTAGGGCTACCTTGCAATATAGGTAGAAAGTCCTAATTTAGGAATAAAGAATATTGTTAGTAAATGCTCTGGGAACGAAACTTTCAAACTTTTCTCTCCCCTTAGGAAGCTCCTGTTTTTACAGAGTTAAGCAGAGAAAACGATGAGGAGAAAGGTAATTTTACTTCTTTTTCTTTTTTTTTTTTTAATGTGAATGCTTTTGTATTGGTTCTACTAAAAAGTTAACAGCATGTTTGGGAGCAAGGTGTAATCTGTCTGAATCGCATTGTTCTCATCGATAAAATGAAAAGGCAGTACTAATGAATTGGATGGGATGTCCTCAGCTCTAGGGAACAAAAATGGCAAGTAACAAATTAGCCTAAACAATAAGAAAGTGTCTTGCCATACCAAGAATCCCTAAGGTAGGGTAGTTCAGGATGCCTTACTATCAGAAGCTGGATACATGGTGGCTGTAGGCACTTCCAGTCATCATTGCAGACCCAACATTGTTGAGAGGATGACAGAGAGCGTCCTTTCAGGAGTACCCTGTGAGCAAGGAAGGTTTTTCTAGAAGACACTTCTCCTGCCAGGGGACTTTTTTTTTAATGTCATTGGCCGGTCTATCACATGTCCATCTCAAGAATAGTCACTGGGAAGGAATGGGAATGTTTTAATTTGTTTAGACCAGGAGAACCTTACTGATCATTTCCCAAGGGTCCTACTTCATAATCCTGTCAATTTGGGCATTAGGTTTTCAAGTAATTCAAATGTGAATTTTGGGGGACACAAACATTCAGACCATAGCATTTTCTGCATGAATAGGAGGTATGTACACTTAAACAAAATTGGATTCCTATTAGTGAGGGGAGCTGAGGCAGTGGAGTGGAGCGGCACCAAGGCTGTCCGATACAGCTCCGTCATGAAGCTCTTTCCCAGCCCTGTAAGTATCCATCCAGTATATGCTACAGGAATTTATAAATTTTACCTAGGAGCATTCCAGCCCTCATTTTTTCAGAATGCTCATGGGAAACACCACCAAAAAAATGCCCATGAATTTCTTTGTGCATATATAATGGTATCTTATCTGATAAGCTTTATTATCATTTTTCCTGAAATAAATAGAATACCTAATTTTCTCTTCTAGTGACATTTAATTTGAATAAAGGAGCATGTAGTTCAACAGCAACATCTTCCAAGTCAAGGTGAGCTACATGAATAGGTATCTTAGAAGCTGAAAATTGTGAAATGTTGATGACTACATTTTAAAAGCTGTAGTATTGTGAATAATTTTTTTTCTGGTTTTAATTTTTTTTTTTTGGTTTGTTTTTGATGGCTGGTTGAGTTTTTTTGTGTATGTGTGTGTGGTTTCTTTTAGCAGCTATTTTTTTCTTACTTGCTTGTCATTAAATGACTGCCTTTTGAAGAAAGGCTTCTTTTGATTAGCTGCTTCACATAGATAAACTGTTGCTTCTCCATGCATCCCTCCCCACTTAATGGTTCCTTTGTGCTCCTGCAGTACTTTTTCTTTTCCTGTCATTGCCCACTTAGCAAGTTTAAATGTTAGCTAGGGTATATATTTTTTGCTTTCTCTGATGTGTTGTGATTTTCTGAGAATATTAACCTATCTCCTTAATACTATCACCTAGTACAGCATAAATGCACTAGTAGGCACTCAGTAATAATTGCTTTCACTTCTAGATGGTGTAGTACAGGCAGGAGTCCACAAACTTTTCTGTAAAGGGCCACACAGTAAATATTTTAGACATTGTTGTCATATATATATATATATATATATGCCTTTATCACAACCATTCATGTAGCTGCTGTCAGAGTGAGAAAGCAGACATAGGCAGCACATAAACAAATGAAGTTGGCCATCTTCCAGTAAACATTTTATAAAAACATTTTATAACACAGGCTGGATTTGGCCCTCAAGTTGTAGTTTGCCAAACCCTGATATAGCATGTAGTCCGTTACTTCTGTCTACTTTTCATTTTCTTTTCTAGTTCTATATTCTTTTATCAAATATTTATTCACTGTTTGTGTTGTGCAAATGCAGTCAATTTAGTTAAGGAGGTTAGAAAGCTAAATATAAGAGATGTTCAGGAAGGTACCAGTATATATGTGAATATAGTTTTAAGCTGTGTTTTACATGTTGTATATTTAAGGCCCTCATTTTGGGGGGTTGGGGAGCAAAGGTTAATTTATAGGCTAGTGGCTATTCGCAAGACTGAAATGGCTAGGAGAATTGAAGGAAATGGGCAGGCTGAGTCAGCAATGTTTAACTGCTTCACAGTGTCTTACCTAATGTCTTAGCTTTGATCAGAGCATTTCAGAATTAACACCTGCATTAGGTATCATAGGTTGAGTTCTATGTATGGTACATTTGAAAATTCTTTTGAAGATAATGATATGCTGTGACCTGGAAGACAGGCTTGAATATATCATAACACACATGTCATATGGTTTTAGATCTTTCTGTATTTCTCTCCATTTTCCTTTATTATTTGCTATTCCTAAGTGTAGATGAATGTTAAGGTTGGGCCCAGTGCCCCCAAACGGATCACCCTTGTATTAGTTTTCTCTGACTGTTAATAAATTACTACAAACTAGGTGGCTTAAAACAATGGAAATCTCTTTGTCTCTGGAGATCAAGCTTCTGAAATCAAGGTGTGTCTGCAGGGCTGTGCTCCCTCCACAGGCTCTGGGGGAGAATCCGCTTCTGGTTGCTACTTGCGTTCCTAGGCTTATGGCTGCATCCCTCTTGTCTTAATGACCAGGATCTTTAAATTTCTCTTTGTTTCATCTTCATGTCACCTTCTGTGTATCTGTCAGATCTCTGTTTTTCTCTGAAAAGAATGCTCTAGTGCTACCTTTAAATACTTAAATTTTTTTAATGTAGAACAAATAATGGACAATAATAATTCTATTGTATTTTCCGATCATCACACTTTTTTCTTCTTGGCCATCTCCATGGTAGCTTTGTGCAAATATTTGCTTAATTTTTTGTAAAGATGACAGATTAAATAATTATAATACAAGGTGCGGGTGTCATGTATCTCATAAAGTACTATGGCATTTCAAAAAAACCATTCAAGAAACCTCATGAATAATGGATCTTAAAGACTTTTAACAAATGGAGATAAATGGAGAAATTCTTTTAAGTATAAAAGGGGCATGTGCAAATTTGCAAAGGCATGAAGCATAGGGCATGGCTCAGCCAATAGCAAATTGTTTACAGTGGCCAGTGAACGTAGTAAGTCAGAGAGATACTATTCTGGGATCAGCGGTGACAAGTTTATATGACTGCCAGGAAATCAAAAATATTTAAGTGATATTTTAAGATCTTTGCTTAAAAAAAAAAAAAAAAAGAATTGGCAATAATATGCTAGACTTCTACCAATTATTATACAAACATTTAATCCTTGCAGTTGAGTTCAGAGTTAGATCACATTATCATCTCCATTTATAGATGAAGAAATAAGACTTAGAAAAGCTCATTACTCAAAAGTCCTAGGAGAAATAGTCTTAAACCCTGGTCAAACCAAAGCCGACGCTGTCACCACTGTGCTGTATGGGCTGCACCGGCACTCACTGAAGGTGTGAGGAGAAGGTAGGAGGGAGGTAAACACAGGAAGGGTTACATGTTCCCCTGGTGCCAGGAGCCTGTAAGGGATACAGATGGGCCCTTCATTGTTTTGACTAATCTGTTATAAAAGAATCATGTTTATTTTGCACGTTCTAAAGCCTTCGTCTGTGTATAGTTTTCGTTAACAAGCACGGTTCTTCTTTTCATCAGTTCTTTGGGACCAAGTGCATTGAAAGTGATAGAAACCACAGCATCAGTGAAACGGAAAGAATCTTCCCGGAGCTCAGCTCAACCCAAGGAAAAGAAAAAGAAATCCGCACTTGATGAAATCATGGAGGTACAGTTGATAAACTGCCTGTTGACTCTTTTTTTTTTTCTTTTTATTAATTTACTGAGGTGACATTAACCAAATCACACCGGTTTCAGATGCACAATTCATTTGTACACTGTGCCGTTATTTACCACCTCAAGTCGTCTCCTTCCTTCACCGTGGATCCCCCCACACCCTCTCCACCTCTTTCCAACACCATCCCCACCAGCAGTCACCACGCTGTTGTTGTCCGTGTCTATGAATTTTTCTGTTCTTTATTTTTTTTGCTCAATACCCACCCCCCCCCACACTAATGCAGTTTAAACTAAGGAAACTTAAATAGTTTTACCATTGTTAGATTACTATAAAGTTAGAAAACTGTGCATATATTATGTTAGGGAAAAGGATCCTAGGTGCAGTTCTGTTAGAATAAAATTAGAACTCCCCAACTAGGTTTAGTTTTTTGCCTTGAGTGCTGTCTTCGGAACTCTTCGTCCAACTATGGTCAGTAGAGTTCAAAGAGAAGGACTTCAGTTGTCGTGGAAGCTAGAAGTGAAAGTTCTGTTCCTCTTCTGTGACTGTGAAATTGTCATCCTCCATAGAGTCCCCTGCCAGCCTGTGCTCTCCTGCTATCTAACTTCCACTTGCCGCCTTCTAGCCAGCAGGAAGAAACTGTGACATAGTTTTAATTTGATTTAACCTCATGGCTAAGTTTATGAGGTGGATCATTGAAAACTTGTTGGTTATCTGGATCTAGGACCACACCTTCTGCCTGGAACTCTAGAGTAGTTCTGCAGAATATTCTTAATACACTCCTATATAGTCCTTTCTCCCTTCTAACACATGGCCTGACCTTATCAATAAATTTATGAAATAAGTGGAAAAAGAGAAGAGGAAGGACAAGTGACAAGAAAGAATAAATGGATACAAGAAAGTTTTTTTTCTCCCCTGTAATATCATTTCTTCTAGTCTCTCCATCCATTTTTCTTTGTTTATGAAGGGATAGAAGGTCACTAGTCAGTCTTCCCTGTTACTGAGTCCTCACACAGTGAGGAGCAGTCTGAGAAGTGTAAAGTCTAACATAAGGCGTGTATACTCTGAGATGTGGTCCTTACATCATTCAACAAATATTGAGTCGCTATTATGTGCTAGGTAGGCATTGTATGAGGTCATGGGTCTGTAGTATAAGGATAAAAACATAGTACATGTGTGCCATGAAACTTTCATTTTAGTGAGGCAGACATTCTGTGAACAAGTGAACCAGTAAGTGATCACATACAAAATGCTAAGTCCTAAGGAGGTCTGAGCATCAAGAGTGGGGAGATAGCTTGTGTGAAGACACGAAGGAGCTATAAGTCAAACATCCAAAGGAAAAGTCCACGTAGCTGTAGCATGGTAAACACAAGAGTGGTAGCATTTGAGGTTAGAGAGAGAAGCAGAAAGGGAGTGTATAAATTTAATTCAAAGGAAAGTGGAAGGCCGCATCTACCTGCTTTGAATGTAATACATGCTAAATTCAGAATATTTTTTGTTCATGTTGGAAAGTTGGAGAAGTTAAAATGAGATTTAGAATCAATCAAAAATAGCAATTCAATTCCATTGAAAGTTGGTAGTTAGGGTTCTAACTCTAAGCAGTTGAGAAAGAAAAAGATGTAATATAAAGCCATAATTGGCCGGTCAGCCTTTGATTCTTTCGGTTTCCCTTTTAAGTACATCTCTCTTGGTTGTATACTTCCCCTCCATTTATAAGCTTCATTATCCTTATGAAACAGGAAGCTCCTTTTTGCCATAAGACTCTGTACCTAAGTCTGCTAAGTTAAATTGGTCTGTGAGTGTTGTTTTTACCACTTAAAAACATTGCCTGTTTTCTAGTTCATGACAGTCACATGGGAGGAAACCGGGGGAGGGCATTGCCTTGCTGTGCAGACGGCTTTGCAATATTACCTAAGTAGAGGTTATTTGTTTTATTTTCTTGGTCAGTCGGCTTGCTTTATGACATATTTCCTTAATCCAAGTTTATAAAAATCAAAAGTAATTGTAAAAACATGTTTGTATATTAGATCTTGCAAATTATGTCATTGATCTTCTGAGAAGTATACGTTTTCTGTTGTTCTTTTGCTAAATAGAATGTTACTCAAATGAGTTGAGGATTTTAAGGAGATCATTTTCTGATTGTCTTGTGTGTTTTACAGATTGAAGAAGAAAAGAAAAGAGCTGCCCGAACTGACTACTGGTTGCAGCCTGTACGTATTCAGTTGGAGTGTCTTAAGTTCTAAATGTACTTTCAAGTTAATTATTTACATAGCATTTGGTATAAATGACCAGATTTCTCAAGTTTATATAAATTATATAGATTGACTTATAACTTCAATGAGTTTTTTTCTATTTGATCTTTAATTAGGGGTTGCACCTGTATTGGAGGGTTACTTCATGTTTACTAGGCTAATAATATTCCTTGAGTTTAATGCAAAACTTGTTTATGGCACCTTGAAATTAAGCCTGAAATTATTTTCCATTTTTGTTATAAGACAAAAGATTGTAATTTCAGAAATAGAATTAAATAGAATATAAATGCAGAAGTACTTGTTTTCAGCTTATATCTACTGAACTTAGAATACCTATTTAGGTGTTTTGTTTAAAAGAACAGATTTTAATTTTACCAATTCAAGGAATGCTTGATATTTTATTGCTTATAATTTTAAGATAATTTTATAACAATTTGTAAAGATTTAATTTTAAAATTATTATTTATTGATGCTCTTTTTTGAACTTAGTGAGATGAAAAGGTCTCATAAAACCTTCAAATTACCTAGTTACTCCTAAAGCAGTTGCTTTGATTAATAACAGGGGAGTAAAGTATAGTGTGCTATTTAAATAATTTCTGATTTGAAAAATTAGATTAATAATAACCTCAAAGGTCAAGAAGTTCAAAGTTCTGATTCAAATCTTCATAGGCATTTTCCACTAGCTTGGAAATAATTTAGCTTCCATGTCTTAATTTATATTTTTATGTAATGGGAAACATTTCTACCTTAGGGTCACATGAGAGATTATGAAATAAGTTATCTAATAACAAAATACCTACTATGTTAATAGGAAATACTCATTTTCTATAAATTATTTCAGTTAATCCTCATATCAGCCCTCTAAGGTAATTATTGTTATTATTCTGATTTTATAGGTGCGAAAACTGAGGTATAAAGTATTTGAATACCTTCTTCAAGGTCATTTAGTTAGTGGCGAGCCTGGAATTCCCTGGCAATCTAATTCAGTAGTTTGTACTCTCAACTAGTAAATACTTCTTTCTGGGAAGCTTTTGTCACCCTGGCTCCACCTCTGAGTAGAATTTTGGGTCAAGATTAGTAAAGGAAGGACCTGTAGGGAAGAGACTGTCCATGAATTATTTTTGTTTTCCCTGTTAGAGTGGCTATCATTTGAACATTAATAGGTTTAGATGTTTTTGACAATGTAATCAAGAATTTTGATTAAAGCAGTAGTTAGTTCTTAACCAGGAGTGATTAAGAGATTTTTTTCTGTTTACCTCAGTCTCTATAATAGCAAGCATTGTAGAACACTTTATTATATTCACTTGTCTTCTGGAGACAGAAGCTTAGGGTACAATAAGGCCATGGAATTTCAAAATACACATGCTTTACTGTTCTCGCCATCCAGTCTCTTGGTATGAAATGCACATTTTCACTAACTTCCTAGGTGAATTTTATATTTACCCTTAGTTAAGAACCATTTGTTTAAAGGAAAAAAAAAACCTAAAAGCAGAACGAAGAAAGGCAAAATTCCAATTGTTACTTAACCTAAAAATTCTCTTCCCAATCTGACAAAAATCATTCAATTAAATTTTATTTTCTGTTGATAATTTTCTCATACTGTAAATTATTCAGCTTTTCTACATAGTTCCTCTTAGAAAGTTACTTTAAAAGTGAGAATTAACAAACAGTGCTCTGATGACTTAGCATGTTTCTTATTTGGAAAAGGGCAGTATGTTTGTTTAAATAGCCAGCAGTGTACAGAAATAGATTGGAGAGCTTCATTTTTTTAAACTCAGAGAAGAAAGGTTTTGAACGGATTTATTGTGAGCAAGCATCAGTAAGTCCAGTGATGTAATGAACTGTCTTTAAATGCAGGCCTTTGAGAGATTTAGTCTAGAAGTACTCTGGCTAAATCAGAGAAGCTGTTCTGGTATTATTTTCTTTACTTAGAAATTCTTAGTAAAACAGAGACTTAAGAATAAGACCCCTTAAGCCTTCTCCTAAACATATCTCTATCTTCTATTAAATAACTTCCCTGAAAGTCCTCACTGAATTTGTGTTCATACAATTTTTAGCATAGCTTAGTGAAGTACTTGTGACCATCTGGTACCTCTGTTGTAGTTACTTGAAGTAGCAAATGTCGAATTACTATAGTGAATATATAACAATAAATTAGGTGATTTAATTCCCATTATCAGCTGTTAACACAGCTAATTCAAATCAGGAAAACAATTAAGGAAGCAAAATCGGAATGTGTTGATATGAAATAAACCCAGATTTCTCTCACATTTGAGAGTAGTTACTCAACAGAGCGATACTTATAGCCAGAGCTAATCTGGAGGAATCTTGTCTGTATCAAAAATTCAAAGCAACATAATGTGAAAAGAACACTGTGGAGAGTGTCATGTCCTGAGGATTCCCAGTGAGTCTCTTGCCATCCGCACCCTTATCTGCAGTGAACACCAACAGTAAAATATTCTCCACCCTTTTTACTTCCTTAAATGAATAGAAAGAAAGAAGCTGTTTATGAAGGACATGAAGCAATAGAGTTGAGATTTATAGATAAAAGTTCTAGACTTCAAGAAACCTTCACTAGGGAAATCAGCCATTACATGTATGTTTTTTTCCTCTCGAGAACTGTATTGAATAAAAAGAGAAGGAATAAAAGATTACCAAGGAAGCACCATTGTTGGGAATAAGAACTCCAGGTTTTCTTATTTAGCAGAGCAGTCACATCTTACAGTGATTTTTGATGAACACTTAAAATGAAGGAGTAAAACAGAAAAGGTATTTATATATTTTCTTTCATCTTTATTTTCTATTGTAATTTTCTAGGAAATTATCGTGAAAATTATAACCAAAAAACTTGGAGAGAAATATCATAAGAAAAAGGGCATTGTTAAGGTAAGACCATGAAGTTATGAATGAAATTTGTGAAAGGAATTGCTGGGTGGCTGAGTAAAGCATTCTGGTGTTCCATAAATATCAAGTCCTACTAGTAGAAAGCACGTATCTAAAGTTCTTGATAGTTCTGTAAAAGGAAAGCTGAATTCATAATCCCTGGAGAAATAATTCATTTTCAACCATCATTTATACTTCACCTCTGTTTGCTTTTTTACTGGAGCAAATACTATGTATGAAATCCCATTGGCACCTCTTCAGCTCACCTTGCTAATCACTAAGATACATTCTCTCTGGTGATGATGGGCAGTATAGTTGTGCCCCCAGAATTCCAAGGAGGCTTTCCGTGTGTTTTGCCTGAGAGACTGTCTTTTGACTGCTCTAGGATTTTAAAATTTAAATATCAGCACTCCACTCCTTTTTTCCTCTTTTGCTTTTACTAAATATAGTTTCATTTCAGTACCCAGGCTGCTCTTGCATAGATCGCCCTTCCACTGTCTTTGAAGCTAGGCAAAATTATCCCTCTCATTATATTTCTTAAAGTCTTATTTCAAGATAACCAATCTTTTTTCTTTCCAGATGAAAACCTTAACTAAGCTTTGAATTGAATTCTTTATGAAGAACCAAAGACCAGTAATTTTTAATTGGTGTGCTGCAAGAATTTTTAAAACATGTAGTACCTGACTATTTAGTCAGGGGCACCAACCCTTTTTCCCTTAGACTGTCAAATAAAAAATGACAACAGCCAATGCAACAACAGCCATCTGGCATGAATGAATCAAAATTATACCTTTTTTGGGGGGTCATGTTGGCAAAAAAAATTTTTGTGTGTGTGCCACAGAATTTTAGTGTTTAGTTTATATGTGCCATGAGACAAAAAAAGGTTGAAAATCACTGCCGTGGACTAAGAAATAATAAATGGTTTCTAGAAAATAGTGTTTATAGAAGGAATTACTCATCTTCTTAATGGAATTTCATTTCATTTCATTTTTGTCCTTTGAAATTTGTGTTCACATATCTCTTCTATTATAAAAGTATTGATTTTACATGACAGGAAGTAATTGACAAATACACTGCTGTTGTAAAGATGATTGACTCTGGAGACAAGCTGAAACTTGACCAGACCCATTTAGAAACAGTAATCCCAGCACCAGGTAAATCTTTGGGCAGACCATTTAATGCATATGCCATCAATATGAATGATTCCATCTGTCAAACCATAGCTTTTTGACATTACTTGATAGTTACAGATAAGAGTTTCCTTTTTAGAAATATATAGCTGCCATTATAACTGATCCTATACTTAGTGATATGGTGATTTGCAGTCTTCTGAGAAAGCTATTTGTGTCATGAACAAATTTTCCCTTCCTGGAATTTTTTTTTCCGAGGGGCAAAACACAGACACGTTTGGATAAATTCAATCACATTAGGCTTATTATTAATATATAATATTTATTTAGCTACCTGAACTGTAAAGTAAAAGCCAGTAGTATTTTGCTTTTTCTTTTCCTTTTTCTAAAAATATATTTTATTGATTATACTAGTAGAGTTGTCCCAATTTTTCCCCCATTTGCCCCCCTCCACCCAGTACCCCTCATTCCATCCGGCAATCCCCACCTTAGTTCATGTCCATGGGTCATGCATGTAAGTTCTTTGGCTACTCTGTTTCCTACACTGTTCTTAACACCCCCCCGTCTATTTTGTTCCTTCCAATTTGTACTTCTTAATCCCTGCACCATTTCCCCCATTCCACCCTTACTCCTTTCCCAGCTGATAACTGTCCAAATGATCTCCATATATATGATTCTGTTCCTGTTCTTGTTTGCTTAGTTTTTTAGATTCAGGTTTTGATAGTTGTGAATTTCTTGCCATTTTAATGTTCATAGTTTTGATCTTCTTTTTCTTATATAGTTCCCTTTAACTTGAGCACTTGGGTAGTAACACAATGTCTAGTATTAATGCTTTTTGGTCAGGTTGTTGGCCTTTGATCCAGTTTCTTCATGGTGATGTCATTGCTGGCACAGTGACCATGTTAGTTTGTAAAACATTTACATATCAGATCCTTTATTCTTTCACTCTAAAATAAAAACACTAATGGATTAAAAAAATTTTCCAATAACCTGGACTTTTATAGTACACATTTTGATAAGTTTTAACATACGAATACTCTTGTGAAACCATCCTTACAGTCAAGATAATTAATGTTTTATCACCCTCCCCCCTGATTTTTCTCATTTTCCTTTATAATCTAATTGTTCCCTCCCACTCCTTCTCTTGCCTCCCATCTCCCCACAGGCAACTACCAATCTTGCTGTTACTACTGTTTGTTTATCCAGTCACCTGTTGATAGACAGTTGAGTTGTTTATAGTTTTTGGTTGTTACAGTAAAACTGCTATGAACATTTATATACAAGTCTCTGTATGAACATACAATTACTTTTCTATTGGGAAAATATTTAGAAATAGGATGCTTAGTTGCATGACAGGCATATATTTAAACTTTTATGAAACTGCCAAACTATCTTACGGTTTTAAAAAGTTGTGAATTAAAGTAAACAAATTCTTCTCTGATTACTTGTGGATGAAGTATTTTCTTCTCAGAGCATTTCTTCCAAATACCTTATACACCATGCAGTCTAAAATTAAAAATATATCCCTTTAACAACAAAGTGAATAATGGAGTCTTATAATGTGATAGTAATTATGGTATTGTAAACTATATTTTAGAATATTGTTCGTAAATGATTAAGAGCTTATAAGAGGAGGGTTTTGTTTTTCGTTATGTTCATTCAGTGTAATTGCATTTTGCAGTAACAAAGTAAAAGAAAAAAGTGGACATTTTCTTTGCATTTAGTGTTACATTCTTTTCTATTGTAGGGAAAAGAGTTCTCGTTTTAAATGGCGGCTATAGAGGAAATGAAGGTACCTTAGAATGCATCAATGAGAAGACCTTTTCAGCTACTATAGTCATTGAAACTGTAAGTACGTTTGCACAAAGACAAAAATTTCAAAATGTTTTAAAAATGTGTCAATTCTTTTTTATTGGATTGGTCTTTGTTTTATTGTAGAGTTTAGGTTTTTTGTTTGCCTTCTGTCCTATTTAGAAAAATCTGTAAGCTTATTTTTCTTTAGCGACTCTATCATTGCTAAAACATTCTATTTTCTGACTGCAAAAGAAATGCCTATGTGTCTTAGTCCATTTGGGCCGCTATAACAAAATACCGTAGACTGGGGTGGGGGGGAGCGGGGGCCTTATAAACAATAGAAATGCATTTCTCACAGGTCTAAGGGCTAGATGTCCAAGATCAAGGCACTGGCAGATTTGGTTTCTAGTGAGGACCTGTTTCCTTTTCATGTTTCTTCACATGGTAGAAGGAACAAGGGAACTCTCTGGGGTCCCTTTATAAGGGTACTAATCTATTCATAAGCACCCTGCTTTTGTGACCTAATCACCTCCCAAAAGCCCCACCTCCAAATACCATCACATTGGGCATCAGGTGGCAACATGGGAAGTTTTTGTGGGACACATTCAGTCGATAGTGATACTCATATAAAACCTGAAAAATACAACTTAATATAAATAACTTTTTTAATTACGCATAATCTCCCAGTCAGATGATAACCCCCATTAATATTTTGGTCTGTTCCTTTCCAGTCTTTGTATTTTATAAAGCTATCTACAATACATACAGTTTCATATTCTGACTTTTTTTTCCTCTCACATCTAATATAGAACTCAATTTGGCATGGTATAATTAGGGGGGACTGTATAGTCATAATTAACAGAAAAAGCAACGGAGATCAATTTTTTAAAATGTCGCTCCTTTCATAAAAGAAGGTAGTAAAGATCAGCAAAATAATTAAGGAAACCTGAGATACAAAAATTGCTTATTGATTTAGAATTGATATTTCACTAATAGGCCTGTGCATGAAACAAAAGGAGACTTAAGATGTCTGAAGAAGGAAAGATCTGAAACATGCTTTGTCCTAACTGCCTAATTCTTTTTAAAATCTAAACTATGTATTATGTATCCTTATCTCTAATTGAAAGGCGTTTTTGTCTCCAGTTCAGCAAGTGTGAATATTTGGGGGGAATAATTGACCCCTTGGAGTGTCTGGTGAAAGTTTTGAACTGTCTCCAAAAAATTGTACATAACTGCCAAATTTTATGTATATGTTGGCCCAAGGAATTCATAGGCCCCTAAACCCATCTGTGGACTGGTTAGACAGTATGTATTTCACAAAGGTTTTCTGAAAAAAAGCATCTTCTTATTGGAGAGGAATCATATTTTAAGTTGGTCAAGCATTTTTTCCCCATCCCTGGCACTACTAACCTAGAAACTGTCACTATGTTAGAGGGGGAAAGGAAAGGGGAGTATCATCTGTCATTGAGGAATTAATCAATCTGAATGAACAGATCGAGGGTTTTTTGTTGTTTTTTTTTTTAAGTCAGTTAAGTTTTTCTCTCTTGACTCAATCGATACAAGGTTATAGAAAATCTTTTATTTCTGTGGCAGTTTGATCCTCCTCTACTTTTTAATTTCATAATACCATCCAATTTAGGTCGCACTTCACATTTTCAGTTTAGGAGAACCAAAAACAACTAATTATCATTGAGGGTATTCTAGGTTCCATCCAAGTATCTTTGGTTTACAATTTGTATGATTTTTAAGAACTACTTTCTTCTCTCCTTCACCAAAAACCCATAGTCCCACTTTCCTTTTTCATGTTTTAGTTGCTTACAAGAGCTGTCCTGAGATAAAACCTATGAGGAAATCCTCATAAAAAGCCTTTCTGGTTAATTGCAAAGCAGTACTCACTTTTGGAAGAGGAAACCCACCTGCTAATTTTTTTGTTTTTTATTTTCGTTTGCAGCCTGACCCCATGAAGAGAAAAATCTGTGTTTGTAGGTGCATGTGTGTGTCTGCCTATGTGCCCATGTTTTTTTCAAGTCACTGGCATGACACGTGAACATTTCAAATGATTCCTGATATTTTTACCACTTCTGCAATCTTGAATTTATTATCAATAGCATAATGTTTGAAACATTTATTATTCTTATACATTATTATTTTTAAATAGCTAACAAAGTATTCAGAAACAACCTTACTCTTTTAACTACTTGCCTAATTAACCAAAGTATCTGGCTAATTTTTATTCCCCAACTTTGTGGTCCTTATCATAAAAAGTGTAATTGATTATCAGCTTTTAAACTTGATAATGAAAAGACTCAGTCTGGGTCATCCTATATATGGAAACTTTTTTCTTTTAAATGGAATCATTATTGTATATTTAAAGAATGGCATTTTAAAAAGCATTTTAAAGGGAAGGCATGAGTAACAGTAAAAAATATTAAAAATCTCAGTTCAGGGTTAGAGTCATTATCATCAACACCATCATTTTATATTTTTCAAGGAAGAGAACCAGCTTTTAAATTTTAACCAAAAGATTAATAGTGAGTTGAAAATTATTGAGCTCATACTCATATTATGTTCCAGGTATTGTTCTAAGTACTTTATATGTATGTTGTCATTTATATTTTCCAACAACCCAAAAATATATGGTTTAGTCACTTGCTGAGGATGGGATTTGAACTTGGGGCCTTAGCCCATAATCTTAGCCTGTGTGTTCCCAGGTTGTGTCAGCTTTTATGACAAGTACCTACATTATCTAGTTTTCCCCTTCCCCTTTTGGTTGGGTGTGAAGAGAAGATAAAAATATATTCAAAGTTGGACTCATTTTCTGTAATAAAGACTAGCCGTTACAGCTAAGTTAGGCAAAACGTGTGTGAGTATCTGTATTGCTTAAAATAATGATACTGCTATAAAAAAAGAGAAATCTTCAAATTGATAATGGTACAAATATAATAGAAGTTTACTTCTCATTCCAAAAGTCCAAAATGGGTGTTCTTGATCAGGGAACGGCTTTTTCCTAAAGAGTGATTTGTGAGCCTTCGGCCCTTCTCGCTTGTGCCTTTACCACCTTCAGTAAGTGGCTTTTTACTGTTGTGTTAGCTTCATGCTGACCAAAGAGAGCGCTGGATTGCAAGCGGAATATAACATATCCTGGGCCTGGAAATGTCAGGCATCTCTTCTGTTCACTTCCGTGAGCTGGAGCTCCACCTTATGGCCACACCTAGCCACACAGGGAGCTAGGACATCTCACCATCCAGAAAGTACAGCAGACACTGAGCAGCCAGCAGGTCTTGCTGCAGTGCCTAGTAATAGATAACATGTTTCAAACATCTTTGAAGAAAATTATGGTCGTTCCTATTGAGAATGCCACAGAATGTTTTTGAAGTTCATAGACATACAGAAATGTTAGCTGCCATAATGGTATTTTAGGGATATGGAAAAAGCAAATTTGTATTTTTAAGTGTAGTGTCATTTTCCTGTCTTTTAAGTACATGTGTGTTTTTAATCTTTTCAATTCCTTTCATTTGTAGGGTCCTTTAAAAGGACGCAGAGTTGAAGGAATTCAATATGAAGACATTTCCAAACTTGCTTGAGTTTGAAAATTTGTTATCATTAAAATCCTAAAGCATCAAATTGGTGTTTGCCGAGGCATAATGAGACTCTACTGTGTTAGGGTGTTTCTTTTGTATAAATCAAATGGATTTATTTAAATAATACTGTACAGTTGTTTAGCTAAATTTTTAAAAACTAATTATGATTCATAAAATATCAAAACTGTGTAAATTTTTTCTTATTTTTGTTTTCTTTTTAATAGTTCCTTGATTTTTTTTTAGTCTTCATTAAAAGAATGTTACTATAAAGTGTTTTATATAAGACAATTGAGAATCATATAATTAGAGGAAATTCTTCATATACTCGAAACTTAAATTTTTAGTAGTAAAGTAGTAATGTTGAACTATAAATACAATTCCATTTTAAAAAGTCACACTACATATAATAGCTTTATTGAGATATCATTCATACACCATATATTATCACCCATTTAAAGTTTATAATTTCAGTGGTTTTTATCTAGTATATTTACAGAGTTGTGCAACCATCACCACTATCTAATTTTAGAAGATTTTCATCACCCCCAAAAGAAACCCTGTACCCGTAGTCACTACCTAGTCTCCCTCTTTCCCAGGCCCTGACAGCTGCTCATCTGCTTTATGTCTCTAAGGATTTGCCTGTTTTAGATATTTCATATAAACAGAATCATATAGTATGTGTTTTTTAATGACTGGCTTCTCTCATGTAACATAATGTTTGCTAGGTTTATACAGGTTGTGGCTTGTTTCAGTATTTCATTTTTGTTGCTGAACAGTATTCCATTGTATGTATATACCACACTTTAAAAAAATCCATTTTTTTAATTGATGGACATTTTGATTGTTTCTACTTTGGAGCTATTATGGATAATGCTTCTATGAACATTTGTGCACGAGACTCCTTGTGAACATATGCTTTCAGCTCCTAGGTGTAGAGTTGCTGAGCCACATCGGGGCTTGTGATAATCAGCTGTGTTTAACATTTTGTGAAACTGCCAGGCTGTGCTCCAAAGTGGCTACACCACTTTACAATCCCACCAGCAGTGCTGGACTATGCATTTTTAAATAATAAAGCAGTATATTATGTAGGGATGCAAAAACCAAAACCCAGCACTTGCTTATGCACCAAAAAAAGGGGAATTTATAGTTGACATAATTGAAGAGGAGTGGTGTCCAATCTTTTGGTGTCTCTGGACCACACTGGAAGAAGAGTTGTCTTGGGCCACACATTAAATACACAAACACTAACGAAAACTGTTGGGCAAACAACAGGTTTTAAGGAAATTGACAGTTTTGTGTTGGGCCACATTCATAGCCATCCTGGGCTGCATGCAGCCGGTGGGCCGTGGGTCAGACACCCTGGAAGCTTCACGTGCAGTGGGAGTCAGAGTGTGAACAGCCTTTTAAGGGCTGGGTAATAGTGGGTCTTTGGGCTCTTGACTGGGATAAGGCTGAAGAGAAGATGCCACTTTATGATACAAAGTGATCCCTTAAAGCATATAGAATGATTTGAATAAGATCTCAGACCAGTGGTGCTGACGTGATTCATAGTTCATTTTTACCATACATTGAGACACTCTATTTCCTTTTTTGATTTGTTGCTTTGAATTGCCAGATTTCCAACTCTTAAGAAATCTTGTTTAATTTTCAGTATATTAAAAACAGACAAATTTATGACAGGAATGATCAGAGCCAAGAGTCTGGTTTTTCTGAAACATAGGCTCTCATTTTCCTGACAAGATACATATTTAATTGGTTTAATGGAAACTGTTTAGATTGATACTTAGGAAAAGCTTTGAAGACAGACTGCATAAATGGTAAAGATGATTAATATATCTGACAGATACCAGCACTGTAATATCCCAGCTCTATACAGAATTAAATATTGGTCAATTGCCAGTGCATTGCAAGGTGCGCCACAAAATAAACAATATAGGTAATTGTCAGGTTTTCCTTCATCAGTGAGAGCGTAATACTTTCAGAAACTAATCAAGAGGTGGACATGGAATAGTTCCTTGCTTTCCAGTGATTCCCATTAATTTGGTTCCTTCATTTGTAATTCAAAATTAATTATACAGAAAAGGCATATTTCTGGTCGCAAGGGAAACACATGAACCGTATTAATAAAATTTTTACAGGCAATAAATTTTAAAAGTTATTAATAAGTTTTGATAATTTGAATAACATGGATTTGATCTTAAATCTAGTTCCTTTTTATAGGATTCTTGCTCGATATCTGTTGCATATACATATACATCCCAACATTTTTCATCGTTATTTTAACAATGATGAAGCACATATAAAATCCTAGAAATCAAACTTATCTGAAGCTAGAAACGTTAAAGTCAAAATTTTTACCAAGTAACAATCACAAGAACTAACTTTTGAAGTGTGTGTTTTATGTTAGCATTTTAAGATTAGTATTTTTGAAATAGGGAATGGAAAATGTAGATTTTTAAAAAATATAGGTGACCAATTTTTATAAAGAATAGAGCTAAAAGGCAATGTCATCTCAGTATTGAGATTAAATTATAGAAATAATCATTTGTTTAATATTTTATAATTATGTCAAATCACTTGCTTTTTCAAATATGGGTTGGTTATTCCAAGAAGAGGTAGTTTTGTCTACATTCCAAAATGAAAAATGATTGTTATCAAACTGGTGAGAAAATTTCATAAAAATAACTTTAAATTTTTTAAGTGTAATTTTATCAACTTGGACTGTAAAATTGTGCATTTTAGGAATTGATTTTTAAAGGAAAGTTATAAACAAAGGAAAGCAAAGAATTACGATGGGCAAGCCTTGGACTGTATCACCAAAATTCTCTCTACTAATGCAGACATGATAGTCACCTGATTTCACCTTAAATTTGTTACTTATTTTGCCTTATAAATGCCATTAGCCTTTTGTTAAGACATAATTTGCTAGTTAATTCATTTTGAAATAAGATAATCATAATAAGGTTTAAAATTAAATGACATTACTTTTAGAAATTGCTTAGCTACAAACAAAATCAAAGGTCTGCAAGGAGTACTAGTAAGGAAGGTACAGAGTTCAAGATCTATTAAATTTGTGTAAAACTTGTTGCTTCACAGACAGAGGGGCTTCCGGAGCATTTGGAACTGTGATTCAGAATCCATAGTAACACCACTATGTGCAATTAGCCATCTGAGATGATAACCTGAGCAATTTTTAAACCTGAGGAATTTAAGAGCAACAGAGTCTCCAAGGTGATTTTAGAATAATGTCAAGCAGGCAGAACTGTTACAGGATTATAATTTAATCAGAAGACATCTACCCAATTGTATTTTATCTTACTCAGAGAAGGGCTGGCTTAACAGAATAAGATTGATGACTAAGGCCTCATGATGGCTCATTTTATGTGTCACCTTAGATGGGCTACAGGGGGCCCAGAGCGTTGGTCAAACATTTTACTGGGTGTGTCTACAAGGGTGTTTTGGATGAAATTTACCTTTAAAAAGGTAGTCTGAGTAAAGCAGATTGCCCTCTTTAATGTGAGTGGGCCTTATCTAATCAGCTGAAGTGCTGAATAGAAGAAAGTAAACTGATCCTTCCCCAAGTGACTGCCTTTGCATTTCACCTGCAACACCGGTTCTTCCTGCCCAGTGGCCTTTGAACCAGAATGCCAGTTTTCCCTGGGTCTCCTGTACCATTGGCCCGCCTTGCAGATTTTGGACTATCATCAGCCTTCATGATTATGCAAGTCAATTCCTTATAATTCACGTCCCCTGTTCTTATTCCATGTTCACCATATAACCTCATAATTGAATTTCTCACAACTGACAACATAAAAATGTACTCAGCCTGCAATGTTGAGGACCTGACAGAGATACCACAGTAAATGCCCAATCTAGGGCACTACCTGGTTGCCAGCTTGACTTGACAAAGCAGCGTTCCTTTGCATCACCTTAATGGACAGACACATTAGCATCTGAAGACGCAACAAAATCCTAAAGCTTTTTTGTAAAGCATTTATTTAATTCAGATGTGTTAAAATCTGGTTAGTTTTTTGAATTATTCAAACTGAATGCAAGAGTGGCAGGGGAAAATGTATATTTATACATTCAGTTTCCAAAACAAAACCTTTAAAGCCATCTGAGGAAGCTATAGAGCTGAGGTACAAAGTAATCCTTGTAGTGTCCATCGATGAAACCCTTTCCGCTATTGTGTACAAACCAACAGGGAACATCTGTTCCAAATATTTGATCTGTTCGGTAGTCTTTCTGCAGGCCTCTGCAAGGAAAATGATGTATGGTTAGGGCACAGACCAAGGCATGCCAGCCTGCATATCTCAAAAGGAGGTATGCTCCCTACACTTGCCGTTCTTTGCGCCCCTTCCACCACCATATCTGCCTGCCCCCGCCCATCTCCACGCCCCAAGTCATCAAAGTCTGCAGCTTAGTGTTGGAAAGACAGAATAAAGTGTGCCCTTCAGTAAGTCAAATAACCCATACTGAGATTGACCAATATGGACTTTTCTAGCAAAGTAAAGAGGGCAAATTAATTTACAAATGGAAGGCAGGTGGGAACATAATGGAAGTGTCGTGGAAATAGCCGCACATACTCAAAAAGAAGGCTCTAGCCTTAATAAAAAAAAACTTTCTAGCGTGATGATATGAGGGTATTTTTATGATTTCCTCCTTTGATCAGCCTTTTTAATTATTCATCTTGTGACCATTTATGAAGGGCTTCTAATGTATGAAGGTAAGAACAAAAGATTAACTGTATATATGTAGTCATCATTTTCATTTCAGATGGATGAGCTGCAATTTCCTTAAGCAAATGTTACGTATGTAAAAGCAAATGTTATGTATGTACCCTTTCCTGATGAATTGTTTAGTTTGACGTAAGTAATGCTCTGTGAGTCCAATGCTAGTAGGAGCCCTTTTTGTTACTGTCATACGCATCCAAGGCCTACCTGGTGACAACCAACTTATGTCCTTTCACCTCCATGGTCGCCTCTGGCTTCTCAGGGTGATTTCCGGGCCGCTCATTGAAGATGTGTATATTTGGCTCGTGCATGAACTGGCCTAGTAATATAAAGGCCAGACAGTGATTTACATGTTACCCAAGAATAAATAAAAAAGACAAGCTGGTCGTTTGATCCAAGCTACCAGTTGGTCCACCCTGCAGAAGTTCTAGGGCAGAAAGACATGCTCGGAGAAAAAGGGCACAGCGATCCGAGGGAGGGGTCCTTCCTGGGGAGCAAATCCGTGCCGCTCACCCCATGGTCACTTTACTTATGCGGCTGATGTGCTGGATCTGAAGTAAAACCAAATGCCCTGAATGGGGCTGGGGGTGAAGGTCAGTACCTGACAGCATAGTTCAAATCACAGAAACGGGTTTGTTTGTGATGTCAGATGCTGAAGTTGGAGCCATTGTTTAAAAAGGAGGGAAGGTTGGTCTAGATGCCCTGTTTGTTATCACAGACTTCCTAAGCCAGGTAACTTCTCTTTAGTTAGAAAAAAAAAAATCTTCACCATAAAACTTAAAATTTACCTGTCTCTTCTGTTGCCCAGTTTGTGATGATGAAATTCAGGTTCTGGAAGAACCTTATGTGGAATAGCAAAGGTCCTGGCCATATAGTATTACTGAGTTACCCTGCACCACTGTGTTTTTTACTTTCTCCATAATAGGATGTTTGACATCTTAAAACCCCTGTCTGGCTCAGGAGAAACTGCCCCTCCCAGGCTGGCCAATTCTGAAAGACAGCAAAGGACTCTGCCAGGAGCATGCCTTTGGTATACAGTTAACCAACCCAGAGCCGAGCCTCATCTATCTGGCCTGTATAACCCAGAAAAAAATCATTCCAGGGCCAGGTGCCAGGCATCGAGAACCTACTCTCTAGCCCAAAGCCTATGGGAATTTTTCAAAACAGCCAACCTTAATCTACCCTGCTTGTCTTTCCATGGAAAACCCTATAAAGGCTCTGGCCTGACCCTATCACTCGCTCCTGCTTCCCTGACCAAATCCTGGTCTTCCTCCTGTTGGCCCTGGATGGCCAGCTGTGCCTCTTGTTTCTAGGAGAAACTGGGAGTAACAGTTACTGTTTCTTCCAATGGCACTGACCTCTTTGTGTTGTCACTCAGTCACCTTTATAAACTAAGACCCAGGCTCAGAACATGTGTCCTTTGCTTTCGAGTTCACACCTATCACTTTCCCCAGTTCTAACCACCGTTATCCTAAATTCTCAAGCTGTAGCATGGCCCCACACTGGTCAGGTGGTTAATCAACCCTTTACCTATTAGTCCATGTGCTTTAGGCGAAAACTTGTTTGAGGAGGGAATGTAGATCCCTAAAAAGTCTACGTTGATCGGATGCTTCTTCCAAACGCGATGAAGTAACACAGAGAAGGATATCTCCTTATCCAGGGTGATCGTCACGGTTTTCTCTTTCTTCACTGAGACAAGCACCCTGCTGGAAAAGTTGAACTAGAATCAACACTTCCAGAACAGACTCTTAGAAAGTCACTCCTCTTACTCCTTATATCAACTCTCATTCCTCCCAATACAATCCCACTAGTTGTCTATGACCTTTACCATGTTTTTGCCTCAAAATGCTATTTTAACTCCATCTCTGAAATTCTTTCAATTTGTTTAAACAGATACTAAGGGGAAGTTATTACTCACAGAACACAATCATAGTGTATCCGAGCATTTCTGACAGAGAGCCAGCTGTGGATTTCAGCTGATGGACTCATTCACTTACCCAACATGGATTTATTGAGTACTTACTCTACACCAGGCACCAGGCTAGTACTGAGATACCTGGTGACCAAAACACAGGCTTCCAGCTGCCAGGAACAGGGCAGGTAGGTAACAGGAATTTTTCTGAACATCAACTTCTTCATGTTTAAAATGATGATTTTAAGGTCTGTTTATGTCTCAAATGGCAGGATTTATTGGTGTAATGTCAAGGACAGGCCCAGATTCAGACATAATACTTGCCTCTGATGAATGACCTGAGCTGTGTCAGACCAGGATAAGACCGACGTACGAGTGCCCTGGTTGAGGATGATGCTCTCAGTGCTAATTTCTATTTTCATGTCTTCACTTTGGAAATAAAATCCCAGTTTTCCAAAATAGGTGCTTAGTTTTTCATTCCTGGGCTTCTTGGCACCAATGAGCTGTCCATTGACCAAAATCCCTATGGGGGGGAAAAAAAGCTTTTATTCTCTCTTGCGTGCCATTCTTTTTTCATGTGCGGGCACCATAATTCAAATTTATAAAGCTTGGCAGTATTATTTTTATTTTGTTTTAGGATTCACATAACATTTTTTCCTTTGTCACTCACTGTGTAACTATGTTTTATTATCACTTAATTATATTACAAAATCTGTTAGCTTATACTGAGGGAGAATATATTATTTATAATACTTCAAACACTTAGGAATATATTTATAATTTTTTCTCACTAATTTTCAGAGTTTGAAAAATATAGGACTTCTATTATGGTGAGAAGGAAAGAAATCCCAGGTAGTGACAGTGTAATGTGGCAAAGATCTAACTGTCTAATTCAAATGTAATATCTTTTTATTTTACCTGATTCTGGATCAGAAACAAGGTTGAGGATTTTTCCAGGTTCTGAGTCAATATTGAAACAAATATTCTCTTGACTCTTTGGTAGGTAAATGATGAAGTGTGGGTCATTTTCAACTGGAAAATATGCAAAGAAAATGAAAATAAAAACATCATAGAAGGGAAGAGGATTTTGGAAAGTATTTTATTCCTAAACATCTTTAATTTAACAAGAACAAATATTTACTGTGCTTTTGCTATATGCTAGGCACTGATCTAGGCACCGGGGGCCCGGCGGTCCATGCCCATTGTCCCTTTCTCATACAGCCTCCATCAGAGCTGTAAGTTACTTTACAAGGATGATGGGTACTTATTCTGTAGCTGTCACTTATGCACTAGGCTAGAGATAAAAATGAGTAAGAAAGACACGAGGAATAAGACACATACTATATACTCACTACACATATATACTACCTATGTATAAATATATACAGTGAGTGTATAGATAAAAAATCATGTATTAAGTAGGCATACACAATGCATAAAAATAAAGAAGACATAATATTATTTGTTGGCATACAGATTGATATTAATCAATCTAAAAGGTTAATCCGCTCCCAAGAAAGTATTGAACACTCTTTTGTTACTGGACACTGCTATTCTGGCTAATCTCGTTTGTTTGTTTGTCTAACCATTCAACAAATATTTAGTGAGGAAAAAAAACTATTTGCAAAACACTGAATTAGGCCATGTTTGCTGTAGCTATAGATAAGTCATGGCCTTCAACAGAGTAACAGTTTAAGCAAAGAGTGGCAAAGATTCGCTCCTTGACCAAACTCTACTCGGGCTCTCCTGGACTTCTCAATGAGACCTCAACTTTTGGGCTTCTGTCTTGGTCTCTGCACTGTTCTATCTTAGCAAAAATCCTGCTAAGTCAGTTTAACCAGAAACCCTACCCTCCGCATCTGATCGCCCTCGCTATCTGATCAGGTTCCTCCTTCCCCCACCGTCCCCCACCCGCAGGTGATGTCTGATCATACCAGCCTCCCTTCAGCAAGAATCCCGTTGGAGGTGTTTAGCCTTGACCCCTTCCCCGGGTTGCTTCCTCTTTTATCTTTCACCCACTGACCCCCACCCTGCCCCTTGTCTCCGAAGCCCCACTTTCCCTCGCTGTATTTGCAGATGAGTGCAGTCTCCCTCCCCCACTGCCAAAACCCATCGCAGTTGTCCCTACCGCTACCCCTCCTTCAATAAAATCTTCCTCACCATGCTTTCACAGATATCAGGAATAATTGTGTTCTTTAACGGTTAGAACATTATTTTTTCTTCTTTCAAGGAAGCAGACATAACCACTAATGTAAACTAGAACAAAGTAAATGATATAATAATAGCCCAAGTGCAGAGCTCTAAGAATGAAGATGCAAGGATGATTGACCACCTGGGAAAGGTGAGCAAGGTCTTATGAAGGATTTGGCTTTTGAACTAAGTCTTAAAGGTAGGAGGGGGAGAAGGGAAGACTAAGACACAAGAAAGAGAAGTATTTTATCTTGAGTGGACAGAAAGAGAAATGGCATGGAGGTAGAAAAGTTGATGGTTTGTTTAGAAAGTAACTCAGTATAACTAGAGGATGGGTTCTTGAAGAATGCAGAAAACGATTAGACTAAAATGTAGGTGATGGAGACCATGGAACACTATGTTAAAGAACGGACCTTTATTCTGTTGAATAACTATTAAAGGTTTTTAAGAATAAATGTGACATGATTTGGACTTCATATTAGGAAAATTTTGGTGACAGTATAAATTAAATATTGGAAAGTAGACATAGGAAGATCATTTAGCAGATAAAATAGCAGTAACCCAGGCAAGAAATGTTAAATTTAAGAAACAAGGATGGTGGAGAGAGGAAAATTCAGGAGACATATGGTAAAATCCATAGTATCTGGTAACTACTATGAGAGAGAAACAACTCAGCACTGCCAGACTTCTAGCCTCAGTAATTGAAGGCATTGAAGAAGAAGGTGTGAGTTGAAAACCAGCAGTGGTTGTTTCCCGGGATAAAATTGGAAGAGTTGGCTACCATCCTTTGACAGGCCACTGTTTTCCAGATATTGTCACAAAGCTCCTTGCAAACATGAACTCATTCTCCTTGCAGAGGACACATGACCTGTCCAAGGTCACATCATGGAGTTAGTAAGTGCCGGATCTACAGCTCACATCCAAGCTGTGTTATTAAAGCCCATTCTCCCAAGCACGCTGATATGCTCATTCATTTTCAAGTGTGTATTTTGAAACTTAGAGTCAAGAATAAACTAATCCAGAGCAGGAACAAGACCTTGTATTTATTTGCACCCCTCATACCACCAACTTCATGTATGTATTCAATAAATACTTGTTTAATTGATTTTGTGTTGGAGCTGAGCACTAGAGGGCATCATTAAAACATAGAACAAAAGATTACTAACTCCTTAAAAAATTTTTTTAAATCATTTAATTATGCTTTCTTCTCCCTTCTTCTATACAATTATGGTGTTTTGAGACATTTTGTTCAAAGAAAATTGTTTTTGTTAAAGATAACAAATGTTTTTGCCATTTTAATTAACCCAGACCCCACCAATCAAACCTTCTCATGAGCAAAAGAATCAGTGCTGTCACATTGAGTTGATACAGTTCTAGGCAACAGAAGTGAAACATCATGTTTAAGTTGGTCTGTGCAGCCTAAATTTTGATTACAGTGGAAGTGCTTTGAAGGCTCCCATGACTGACTTCATGGATTCCTACGACCTGGGGTCCATGGACATGAGGGTTGCCCATGTTTATTGAACTTCTACTGGGAACCAGGAAACAACCTTGCAGGTGAGGTATGATCATCTCCATTTTATAGAGGGGCTGCCTTTGGGAGATAATTTAGATCAGTTCATCAGAGTGTGTGGCCCCCATGATGGGATTTAGTGTCCTTATAAAAAGGGACACCACGGAGTTTGCCTTCTGTCTCTCTCTCTAGAGGTCATGTGAACTCACAGGAAGAGGGTGGCCACCTTCAAGCCAAAAAACCTGAAATCTACCCTGCTGGCACCTTGATTTGGACTTCAGCTTCCAGAACTATAAAAAATAAATTTGTTATTTTAACCACATTTTGACTAACACATGGAGTTACCTTCTTTCCAGAGAAGACAATGATGACTATAAAAGTCACCTAGTTTACCGAAACACAGTGATTTTATTAATGTATATAAGTGCTCCACAGATTATGAGCTGATGGAGACTGGGGATTTGAAAGCCATGTCGAAGTTCTCTCACCTCTCATCACATGCGGAGGAGGAGTGGACTCAAGCACAGGAGCTCCTTTCACAGGCATTGGGACCCTGGGTGTCGGTGAGAGGCTGGCCCAAGGTGGGAGTGAGGTAGGAGCAACCTTGCTGCCGTAGTACAGGGCACCTAGGTAGAAAAACTTGTATCCATTAGTTTCCAGGTAAGTTGCTTACCATTCCAAGACTTATGCAAGCCCCAGAGGTTCTCAGCTAAGGTTTTCTCTCATTTTTATTCCTGAGTTCTCTGTCATGCTGTGGGCTTGCTGTAGGGTTCTCCCCAGAGTCTGGGATCTGAGCTGCCCCATGCATTTGGGGAAGGGCCTCATGCCTTCAGCACAGGCCGGAGATATAGTGTCCAGTCTAGCCCCTGGAGAATCCTGGATTATGGTCGGCACCTGCCTGATGCATGCCTATTTACCCACCAAAAAACAACCTGAGCAACTTAGTTTCCCAAAGAGATTCTCCTACTGCTTACAAAAGTTCATTTGGCTTTCTGATATCCAGTCTCCCTGAGAAACAAACGCCAGTTCATCCAGGCATTTTGTTTAGGTGATACAATGTCACCTCAATGTGCAAGTTTACCTAGACAAATTTAAGTGTCCCAGCTTAATGTAACTGGGAGGTCAGAGGTCAGAGTTCCTTGAATCCTGGGTCACTGTGGTATATCTGACTTCTCACTTGGACAAAATTAAAAAATCAGAAAACTTTTCCTTTAGTCTATGCTGGTCATTTTCAAGACAACATTTCAACAGTCCTCAATAAAGAGAGAAAGGAAGCAGGAGAATAAACCAAGGACTTCTAAACTTGGGCACAGCACCCTTGGGTATATCTTGGGACTTTCCACAGGACACAGAGATTATGGATAATTTTTAAGGCAATTTCTAGGTTCTCAGCCTCCACATAAAATCTTTCCTAAGAACACCCCTTTCTCCTAGTTTACAAGCAGAAGGAATGCTCTCTCCCTGCTTTCTCTCACCAAAAACCTCCTGGAAGCCAAAGCATTCTGCTGAAAATCGGTGCAATGTGAAAACGCGGAATGACTCCAATGACAGGGAAACAAATCTATTCGCAAGTGAGATAGTTCCAATTCTTTATTTTCAATAGAACTAGAGTCGGACCCAAGCTGTCATCTGATAGATCATTACAAGTATTACTTGATTAGTAGATCCATATGTGAGTTTTACCATGTAATTCGAAGAAGTTCAAGTAAGTGAATGATGTTGCCAGAGCCATTCCTATCTACTTAATGTCAACAAGGTTTTTCAGGGCTATGCTTATAAAACATTTTTTTTTTAAACAAGAGTTGGTGCTGATTCTTGTCTCTTTCAGTCTATTAATACGTAGCATTTACACATAGATACGTAAAAAATACACTCAGCCACATTTTTCTCATTAAAAGATGACTCCCAAGAAAATAGCACATTCTATGTATATTAAAATTTATAATGTATTTACATTATATTGATAAATTGTCTGCCCATAGTAATTTTATTTTACTTTTTAATTTTTTAAATTATACTTTATTGATTATGCTATTACAGTTGTCCCAATTCTTCCCTCTTTGCCCTCCTCCTTCCACCCAGCACCCCCGACTCCCTCAGGCAATCCCCCCACCATTGCTCATGTCCATGGGTCATGCATATAAGTTCTTTGGCTACTCCATTTCCTATCCTGTACTTTACATCCCCATGGCTGTTCTGTAACTACCTGTTTGTACTTCTTAATCCCCTCACCTCTTCATCCATTCCCCCACACCCACTCCCATCTGGCAACCATCAAAACATTCTCCATATCCATTATTCTGTCTCTGTTCTTGTTTGCCTAGTTTGTTTTAAAGAGTCAATTGTTGATAGATATGTATATTTTGCCATTTTATTATTCATAGGTTTGATCTTTTTCTTAAATAAGTCTCTTTAACATTTCATATAATAATAGTTTGGTGATGATGAACTCTTTTAGTTTCTTCTTGTCTGGGAAACTCTTTTTCTACCCTTCAATTCTAAATGATAGCTTTGCTGAATAGAGAAATCTTGGCTGTAGGTCCCTGCTTCATGACTTTGAACATTTCTTGCCAATCCCTTCTAGCCTGCAAAGTTTATTTTGAGACAGTCTATGGGAACTCCCCCATAGGTAACTGCTTTTCTCTTGCTGCTTATAAGATTCTCTTGTTGTCTTTAACCTTAGGCATTTTAATTATGGAGTGTCTTAGAGTGGACCTCTTTGTATCCATCTTGTTTAGGACTCTCTCTGCTTCCTGGACTTGCAGGTCTATTTCCTCCATCAAATTAGGGAAGTTCTGCTTCGCTATTTTTTCAAATAGATTTCCAATTTATTGTTCTTTCTCTTCTCCTTCTGGCACCCCAATGATGTGTATGTTAGACTACTTGAAGTTGTCCCAGAGTCTGCTTATATTATTCCCATTTTTTTGAATTCTTTTTTCTTCTTCTTGTTCCAATTGATTGTTTTTTGCTTCCTTATGTTCCAAATCATTGATTTGATTCTTGATTTTATCCACTTTACTTTTGTTTCCCTATAAATTGTCCTTTATTTCAATCAGCATATTCTTTGTTTCTGACTAGATCTTTTTTATGCTGTTGAGGTCCTCAATAAGTTCCTTGAGCATCCTTATAACCAGTGTTTTTTACTCTGCATCTGATAGATTGCTTATCTCCATCTTTATTTAGTTATTTTTCTGGAGTTTTGATTTGTTCTTTCACTTGGGCCATGTTTCTTTGTCTCCTCATTTTGGCAGCCTCCCTGTATTTGTTTCTATGTATTAGACAGAGCTTCTATGACTCCCTGTCTTGGTAGCATGGCCTGATGTAGGGTCCAGTGGCACAGCTTGCCATATCCTCAAGCTGGGTACTTGAGGTGCACCATTCATGTGGGCTGACTGCAACCATTTTCTTGTAGTTGGCATTGGAAGGTCAATGGAAGGATTTACCTAGACCAGTCAGCTGCAAGGACTGGCTGTGACCATGAACTACCAACCTCCATCCTCTGTGAAGGATCAGCTGTGCAAGGGCAGAGTGGTTGTGCTCCAATGTGCTCTATAGCTATCCACTGGATGCACTGGCCCTGAGGTTTCCTGGGTGGTGCCGGCCAAAGTCAGCTCCACATGTGTTTTGCTCTGGGCACCCTGCCTGAGCTATAAAGCAATCTGAGATGGCTGCTACTTCTGCTGGGCTTCGAGATTCCCAGGTGAAGCCAAGCTGTGAATCTAGGATGGCTGCTGCTAGTGCTGGGCCTGGGGCTCACTCAAGCCAGCTGTTTCTTATTTGATAGGATTTAGACATTGTGAAGCAAGTGCCAAGATGAGCCATTCATATGGAAAAGCAGCGTGGGTGGGGCTGTCAGTTGGGCAGGGCAGAGCCTCTGGAGATCTGCAAGGTGGGTCAAAGAGTGTTAGCCAGGTTGATGAAGTATCAGATATGGCACCGGTTTTCTGGCCCTGTTGGGGGAGGGTTTAGAAAAAGGACAATGGCCTCTGCTCACCTCGATGCCAGACACTTCAGTTTCTTCCTGTACACCGCTGGTGACTTTCAAGCTGCTACCCTAGTGCTGGAGCTCAGAGGGAGTGAGTCTGAGTAGGTGATTCCGTGTGTGGGTTCTTTAAAAGGAACTGTTTGGGGTTCCAGAAGTTTCTTCCACTGAGTTAATCCCCTGCTGGTTCTTACAGCCAGAAGTTATGGGGATTTATCTTCCTGGCACTAGCACCCTGGAGTGGGGAGCCTTGTGTGGGACTGGGACTCTTTGCTCCTGAGATATCCCTCCCAAACTTTTATCTACCACACATGGATGTGGGACCAGACCCTTCCACATCTGCGTCCTTCCTACCAGTCTGGATAAATGTGGTTTCTTTAATTCCATAGTTGTCAGACACCATTCAAGTCAGTTTCTGATGGATCTGAGTGGTGGTTGTTCTATATTTTAGTTGTAATTTTGATGTGGTTGTGCATGAAAGAGAGCCATGTCTGCCTACACTGCCATCTTTCATAGTAGTTTTGGTAAGACTCAATCCAGAAAAGAACTTTGAACACTCAGAATCTTATGGCACGAGAAACTGAAAAAATTAAATTTGTATACATAGTTCCCTTATAGAGGAGAATGATGATCAGGGAAAGACTTTCAAGCATAAAAATACATTCTGTTAGAATATGATTCTGCCAGAAAAGTGAAATGACAAATACAAGTTCAACTAGAAAAAAAGGAACAATATGACTTTTGGTTAAGATGGAGGGTAGGTAAACATGCTTGGCCTCCTTGCACTACTAGAAAAAATTACATCTAGACTACAAAACAGGTATCACCCAGAACTGTCAGAAAATCATTCTGTGCGGAAGTCCAACAACCAAGGATTCAAAGAAGCCACATTCATCCTGAAAGGTAGAAGGGGCAGAGATGTAGAGAGAGGTGGAGAGATGCGGAGAGGCAGGAGCCACGCGAGTATGTGGAGTCATGGGAGTGGTGCAGAGAGGTGGTGCAGCAAGGCGGCGGAAAGGGCAGTCCCACATTCCCATGTGGTAGACATAAACTGGGATGGATGCCTCTGGGGCAGGAAATCCCAGCCACAAACCAGACTATCCAGCAGGCCAGAGTTCCAGTGCCAGGAAGATAAGTCCCCATAACTTCTGGCTGTAAAAACCAGTGGAGATTGGGGCAGCAGAAGAAAGTGCCAGATTATCAGGAGACTCCTTTTAAAGGGCCCACGTGGACTTAGGACTTACATAGACTCACCCCCTCTGGGATTCAGAACCAGGCCAACAGCTGGAAGGGCACAAGTGGTATATGGGGTGGAAACAGGGTGAGTGCTGGGAGACAGCTTCTTCCCAGGCAAACCTCTAGAAGGCCAGGCAGTGGCATTGTCCCCTCTCTGAGCCCTCCCCCCACACAGAGCCACAAAGTAGTGACACAGGTTGCCCCACCCTGGTGATCATGTAAGGCTCCTCCCCATACAATTTACAGGTCCACTCTTCTACAATATGCCATGCTACTAAGACAGGGAGTCAAAGCAGCTCTCCTTTATGCACAGAAATAAACACAAGGAGGCTGCCAAACTGAGGAGACAAAGAAATATGGCCCAATTGAAAGAACAGAACAAAACTTCAGAAAAAGAATGAAACAAAATGGAGATATTTAACCTATCAGATGCAGAGTTCAAGACACTGGTTATCAGAATGCTCAAAGAACTCACTGAGTACAGCAATGGCATAAAAAAAAAAAAAAATCCCAGGCAGAAATGGAAGTTACATTAAGTGAAACAAAGAAAAATTTACAGGGAACCAGGAGTGGAGGGGATGAAACTGAGTATCAAATTAACAATTTGGAGCATAAGGAAGAAAAAAGCATTCAATCAGAACAGCAAGAAGAAAATAATTTTAAAAAATGAGGATAGAATAAATACTAACTCTGGGACATCTCCAAATGTACCAACATCCAAATCATAGGGAAGCCAGAAGGAGAAGAGGAAGAGCAAGAAATTGAAAATTTACTTGAAAAAATAATGAAAGAAAACTTCCCTAATTTGGCGAAGGATATAGATCAGGAAGCGCAGAGAATCCCAAACAAGTTGGACCCAAAAAGAACCACACCAAGACACATCGTAATTAAAGTGCCAAAGGTTAAAGATAAACAGAGAATCTTAAAAGCAGCAAGAGAAAAGCAGAAAGTTACCTGTTCCCATAAGACTGTCAGCAGATTTCTCAAAAGAAACTTTGCAGGATCGGAGGGACTGGCAAGAAATATTCAAAGTCATGAAGCAGGGACCCACAGTCAAGATTGCTCTATCCAGCAAAGCTATCATTTAGAATCAAAGGACAGATAAAGTGCTTTCTTGACAAGGTAAAGCTAAAGGAGTTCATTATCACCAGACCACTATTATATGAAATGTTAAAGGGACTTATTTAAGAAAAAGATCAAAACTATGAATATTAAAATGGCAATAAATTCTCAACTATCAACAACTGAAACTAAAAAAACAAACCAAGCAAACAAGCACAACAGGAACAGAATCATAGATCTGGAGACCACTTCGAGGGTTATCAGCTGGGAGAGGGAAGGGGGAGAATGGGGGAAAAGGTGCAAGGGTTAAGAAACATAACTGGTAGGTACAAAATAGACAGGAGGATGTTAAGAATAGTATGGGAAATGGAGAAGCTTAAGAACTTACATGCACAACCCATGGACATGAACTAAGTGGGGGATTGCCGGAGGGAACGGGAGTACCTCGTGGAGTGACAAAAATTGTAACAGTGGAATCAATGAAAAATATTTAAAAAATAAAAAAACATTTTAGAAAGAATAATATGAAATTTCTTATAATGCAAATAGAATTTGTTTATATATTTTTTAATGGATGATAGTAAGTGTCAAATCTGGTATTCAGTTTCATTGGATACACTTAAAGGAGTTATATCAGAGTTTCATTTTAAAAGCTCAGTCTTTATAATATACCAGACATTAAATTCATTGTAAGTACTTAAGTAAGATGGACAAAATGTTGATGTTGATTTTTTTAAATGTATGAAGTGGTATATAAGTTTTCAAAATTCCTTTGGGAAACACGTGAGAAAAAATGTTCAAAGATCACCGCAATACACTGTCCTTGAAGTAAACTGGCAGGAAGAGCTCTGGGGACGCAGGCTCGGGAGCCACATAGGGCTGGGCTGGGGGTGGGAGAGCGGCAGAGGTTGAGGACCTTGACTGGGCCTACGAAAGCTGGACCGTGATGTTTCTCCCCCAGAATGAAACACTGACCTGAGCAGCAAGAATGGTCTTGCGGGGGAGGGGCGTCGGCCAGCATGCGCTCGTCCCCAGCTTCATTCTCAATCACCATGGCAGTGAGCGGGGTCACTATGTGATGTTCCAGTGACATCTGCAGGATTGTTTTTGTAATTTTCTTTTTGTCAGCTGCTGTAGTAGCCAGGCTTCTGCATTCAAGAAACAGAGACATTACAGAATGTCACTTTATGTAGGGCTGAGTTAAAGTCCCACAACCCCCTACTTTCAGTGTACAGCCAGGACCCTGGGGACCACAAAGGAAAATAGATCTGACTTCATGTTTCAGCCAGTCATGCACTCCTAAGGAATTTTCTAATAGACTTGATTTTTTTTTTTAGCAGTTTTAGGGTCATAGCAAAATGGAGGGGAAAGTACAGAGATGTTCCATAATGCACAGACTCCCCCATTACCAATGTCCCCTCACCCACAGACTCCCCCAGTATCAATATCCCCACCATAAGAACAGTTACTACAATTGATTAACCTACAGTGACACATCATTATCATACAAAGTCCATAGTTGACATCAGGGTTCACGCTTGAGTTGCACATTCTGTGGGTATGGGCAAATGCATAATGACATGTGTTCAACAATATAAGATCATACAGAGTAGCTTCATTGCCCTAAAAATCTCTGTTCTCCACCTATTCATCTTCCACACCCTACAACCCCAGTAAACACTGATCTGTTTTACAGGGATTGTTTCTTAAAAAATCAATATTTAACTTTCGCGGCAATTTGCTATCTGCCTTTAACTGTATCCAGTATAGTGCTGTACAGGGGCAGAAATATTTCTTGCTCACTTCAAAGCCACAGCTTAGAGCCATGTGTCTGTTTTATAATCTTATTGACATCATGGATTTTCTCTGTGAGTAGTTACATTAATTTCCTCCAACCTAGTTCAGATGACTCTGTTCCATCTTCCTGAGAATCTGATAGAATAGGTAGAGTGGGCTCAGGAATAGTATTTTTCTTATCCAGCACCTGCATGTAACTCCAAAGCAGGTGATCAAAGAACCGTCCATTACTCTAAAAATATAGTTTTTATATTGGACAGTTTCAAAGCAGTTCAGCTGAGAAACCCAGGGTGAAACAGATGACTATTAGGGAGCCCTTCCCAATGTGATATCATAATCACATAATCATAGATTTCTCATTGGACAATAACCTGTTCAGTTGCAGACAAAACTAATTGGTGGTGACAAATGCCTAAACAGTGATTTCTGCTGGAGGTAGTGGTGGGGGCTGAGTGGGAAGGAGAACAAGGGAACCTTCAGAGATGAAGAAGTCTTCCACATCTGGATCTGGGTGCCAATTACATAGGTGATATATATAAAAGTGCATTAAACTGTACACTTAAAATCAGTGCACTTCACATACTTTATTGCATGTATGTTTACCTCAAAACAAAATAAAATAAGGGGAAACTCAGCTTTAGCTTAAGTGCTATGGACCAGTGGAAATTAATAATCCAAACCCTGTAATAATTTGCTGCCTTTCTTGGTTCTAATATTTTTGTGTATTACCCCAAATATTCAAGGCAAATCTTCGAGTTTGGAAGTTCCTGTGGTATATGCAGTTCTTACCGCTCAGCTAGAAGTTGATTGATTGTCAGGTAGGCCCACAATTTTCTGGTGAAATCAGGATCTGCATGCTTGTCTTTTGATAAGAAATCCTCCAAGTCATCCATTTGTGCAAGTGTCTCCAAAACTAAGTCTGTGTTGGCCTGGATGATGCAAGGTTCAGTTCAAAGACACCAAGGAAGGAGAATTATAGTTAAATCAAATCACATTTTCATACCTACTTACTGTGAGTGAACCAGGGTACTATGCAACTTTAAGGAGAAAGCAAAATAATTAAAAGGAATACAAAAGAGGAAGTTAAGTGCATACTTCTGGAGTCTACAATTGGTCTGGGATGAAAAAGGTAAGGATTTACACAATAGTTGGGAAGATGGCATAGATTTTCTCATGCCTTCCCTATTGCTTTTATTCTACATACATGGTTCTTGAAATACAGTGTTAGCCTGTTAATACACAAGATGGAGTGTATCCAGGGGACCAGTTAGTATTTTTAGAATAAGCAGATAAGCTGAAGTACCGAAGTTGCGGTGATAATGCTCTGTAATTGCTGTGATTTTTCAGGGTCAAATTTTCCTGCCACCACAATCTCTGAGCCTCTAAAATAGTTATGGAAACTGTTTTGAGTGACATCCGTTACTGACGTATGGGGATAGTTGAACTGAACATTCCGGAGCAATGGAGTAGAGACCTGGTTGTAGAATTTCTACAATTCATAAAAAAAAAAAGAAAAACAAAACAAAATGGAGAAATCATTACTTTCATACCACTTTATAGGTCTAAAGCATTTTTCTCTGAGATTCTTCAAATGCTTAACAGACATCTTTTATTCTCACAGGATCTCTGTGGAAAACTATGGAACAAGGAAAATTCTCATAATTATCAGACAAACAGAAATACAAAGAAGATAAAGACTAAAGGTTAAGAATATTACCACTGACTTAAGAGCCCAGAGTTTTTTTCCTATTATGACCAGCATGAACAACTAATGGACACTCATAACCAGAAAAACCAGCTAGGTTGATAGTCCCCAAATTAGAACTTATCGCTATTTGTCCCCAAGTTTAAATATGATGCCCATCATTGATGTACGGTACCTGATACTGACAGAGGGTGGGGTAAAGTATATTCTTCTCCGTTACCTTTTTCTTGTTCATTTAGTCAACATAAATGATGAATTCATATTCTTTATGTTTAAGGAAACTCACAGGCTACATCTTGATCTGGTTACATTAGGAAAAGTTAATATCCAAGATGCCAGTGTACGTTGAAGGAACAGCATGGCCATGCTGATAAGGAGAACCAACTGTTTGGCAGGGCTGGAGAGCCACAGCGCTGTGATGGTGGCTTGGAATACTCATTCAGGGAGTGGGACTGTGCCATCACCTTACTGTTTCTCATCTCACTGTTCACGCAGATGTAAGCAAGTAGGGTGAAGTGCATGAGAAAGGGACGGACACTTGATTCTTGCAAGCAAACATAGCTGAAATAATGGCAATTTTCACTAAAATTTGGCCATCTACTTTTAGGTATCAGATATTGCTGGTTGAATGATTTTTGAGTGAAGACCAAAAAAAAAAAAAGAACAGAAAAAATGTTACCTTGAGCTGGAAAGAAGTGTCCTGATTTCCATAAATCCTCTGAGCAATTCCACGGTTCTCATTAGATAGTCTCTTCAAAAAATCATAATCGACATCAAATCCTATTCCCAGACTGAACAAGGAGATGTTGTCTTGTATGTTCTGCTTCACATTTTTCTGAATTTTTGACAACTTTAGTTCACCTAAAATTGACGGTGACAGAAAGGAAAAAAATGAAGAGGCAATATTATAGTTTTTGGAAAATCCATGGAGAGCAGTTTAGCAAAATTTGTCAAAATTAAAGACTCACTCTTTAATCCACTAACTCAATTACTAGGAATTTTTCTTACAGAGGTACTCATACATGCTGAAATAAAGTACGGGCAATGGTACATAGTAATAGAATTGGAAACAGCCACATATTAGAAATAAATTTACACCAACAGGGGAGACTTGTTAAATTATGGTACATTCAATTTGAGAAATACTATATAGTTATTAAGAAGAACAAAGAAACTCTATGTATTTATTTTGAATAACCTCAAAGGCATCTTTTTAAAGGGGAGAATAATGTAATAATTGGCATATATAGAATGCATTTATGTATATGCATTCCTGTGTGTATATATGTGTGTATTCACATGTATGTGTGCATGTATGTATACATAGTTGCAGGCATGCATAGAATATCTCTGGAAAGATACACAAGAAACTGGTAACAAGTGACCACCTTTTGGGGCAGGAACTGAATTGTTTAGGGACAGGAGAAAGAAACAGACAATTTTTTACTATATTTCCTTTTTTTCCTTATTATTTTATTTTAAAATAGGATTTTTCAAGTAATCTGATCCAAGAGGGAAAAAAACCCCACTGAATCTGCAACAAATACATAACAACTGCCATTCTAGTTTCACCATCAATCACATGGTTGCTCTTTGCCTTTGTAAACCTTGGGGTGCCCTTGTCGTGACTGCGTCACTGCTTTTCCTCCACGGAGCTGCCTGGCATAGGTTAGATACAGTCCTCGTCCACATGACAGAGAGCAACACAATCTGGCACTTACTCTTCCTTATATTTGTCAGTGTAAAGAGATAAATGAAACAAATAAAAATAATAGTACATGATGATAGAAGCAGGGAAATATTGAGCTAGTTTGTGGATAAGAAAAATGCTTAACGTACAGTCTGTATCAGAGACAGTAATTTCTCCAGTTGCAGTGAGGAACTGGAGGGAAAGTGTGGAGAACAAAAAAGATACATTACTGAGGACTCCGGAGGTACAACTGGACACGTGGGACCCATCCCCGTCACACATGCTACCCTTCCATTCACCACCTCACCTACGTTAAGTTGAGGAAATAAATGCATTTCACTAGTATGTACTAGCAATCATCATAGCATACAATTACAGTTAAAATTAAAGTTTCTCTACATCGTAGAGGTGACACTAAGGCATTCAAGGGCATCACTGAAAAATATCTGGGCAATGGTTTAAGCCGGATGAATGTTTCAGGGTCGAAAGAAATCTTTATTTTGGGAAGCATGGATTTAAAATGATTTAGAAACTCAGGCTAATGCCATTAGGTTTCCCACTGTAAACGAATCATGTTCCCAAGAAACAGAAGTAAAAATATTTGCATTAGAAAATTGAAGTGCTACTTGCCTACTGTTGGATCGCCGTCAGAAACCAAAATGATCAGAGAAACTGAGTTGGGGTCCAGCATTCCCAAGTTATTGGCTTCATTCAAAATAAAGATGGCCCGCAGGAGCGCCTCATTGATATTTGTGCCTGATAAAGTAATAATATAATTTGCTTGTTCTGTTACATGCTCTTTCTTTGCACAGAAACAATCTCATATTGGGTTCAGGTTCATCAGTCTGCTGATTACTCAAGAATAATTTATTTGTTACCCAAGTCATTTGACTGCTTTCCCAAGTGACATCAGTTTTCCAACTAGTCAAGATCCCCTGTGGGGTAAAATATTTCCTTTGCAGTAAAGTACTGCCTTAGGGATGAGTTAGCCCTGCCAAAGCACAGTCTGTCACTCTGTTAAACGCCAAGTTGAAGGCACCTAAATCAGCCTTGCTGATAGACATGGACACTGTTCTATGGACAGTTACATTTTATGCTGTGCAAGTAATGAGGTGAGTGACATTTTACTGACACTATTTTCTGAGGAAGGTAGGGATAATTAAAAACTTTTGTGAGATGGGTTGTGTATTGTGCCTTTGCAATGAATTTGATATCATCATTTAGTGATAAATATTATTTAAGACACACCATTGCAAATGGGACCAAGAGCACTGTGGTAGGAAATAATATTTCTTCAGTGAATCAAGATTCAAACCCTATGGAAGTTTCTCACGGGGCTGTAGGTAAAACCTACTCACCTCCATTGGGCTGGATTTTCTCAATATACCTCTTGGCATCTTCAACCTGTGTTTTAGTAGCTGGGATTAAGTCATTTCTCCAGGTTCGCACGTTGTGGTTGAAATCAACCACAGAGAACTGGTCATCAGTTCTCAGGTCATCCAATATGGTTTTCATTGCTTCCACTGTCTATTTCAAAAGAGAAAAGTGAGAGGTCTCACTAGACAAGTTCTGAGCCTGAGAAGAAAAGGGGAAGAGGCAGAATTCACCCTAGTCATCTGTCAAGTACTGACTCAAGCTCTAATTCTTATAGAAAACCTCTTAAATCCACCTCCATCAACACAGACCTATTTCTCACTTTTTCTGAACATGGATCGTCTGCATTTTGAGACTTAAACTTTTACTGACTTACTTGGTTATGCACTACCAGTTTGACCAGTCTTACATGAAGTTAAGGATCATAAACTTCAGGGTCCCCCTTAGGGGTGTCTGAAAATCAAAAGTTTTTCCCAAGTCCCTCTTCTCACCCACTCTCTTAAACTACTACCTCTCATCACCACTGACACCTTCCTGCACATGGCACTTCTGATTCCTAATACACTCCCTTTTCTTAAAAAAAAAAAGCCTTTTCACAACACCACCACTGAAGATACTTTTAAATTTATTTATTATGTTTATTGTTTATTCTCTCTCCACCTTCCTCCAAATGTAAGCTCTGTCAGCTCCGTCAGGGCAGGCATAATTTTTTAAAAATATATTTTTGGTTGATTCTGCTACTGATGAACTAAGTGCCTGACACACAGAGAGTGCTTAGTAAGTGTTTGTTAAGTGAATGGATAAAGCAAGGAAGCAACGAATAAAATGTTGTATTAGGGCAGTGGTTCTCAGCTGAGGGTAATTTGCCCACCAGGGGATGTTTGGCAATGTCTGAAGACATTTTTGATTGTCATAACTGAGGGGGTGGCAATTAGTGGGTAGAGGCCCTGGATCCTGCTAAATATAGTGCAATGTACAGAGTGGTCCCTGCCAACAAAGAATTATCTAATCCAAAGAGTCAATAATGCCATCGTTGAAAAACTTACTGCTGCACTATGAGCACATTGGGCAGGGGCCATGTATTTTTCTTTATTTGGATGTTAGAAGAGTAGTGAGCACTTGGGTCGGCTGACATGATTGTTGAATAATGAATGAAAGAATGAGTGAGTGAATAAATAAATAGTTGTTGAAATTGGTTAGATGAATGGATTGATAAATAAAATAAGAAATTTCCTTGTTTGTTATTTAGGATTACATCTATAACCATTTAGTGCTAAATAAGCCTATACTGAGCTCCAAACAGGAAGACATGAGACAGGGTGGCCTCCCTCAAAGAATTGCAGTGTAATTAGAAAGATATGCTTATATGACTTCAAAGTTACTTGTGATCAGTGACAAGATATTAAAGTAAAACATTAGGCACAAGAACCAAAATACCATTAAGCAGAAGCATGATCAGAACAAGAAGAGGTTATACTAAGAGAAAATTTTTCGCCAAGGTGAGTTTCGAGTTGAATTTCTGTTATCATAAGCCATCCAGTCTGTGGCATTTTGTCACAGGAGCCAGAGCTGTCTAAGACAAGCCCTGGGGGTAAGGCGCTTGGAATGACTGCAACCACAGGAAGGGAACAAAGAAGGTAGGGAGTCCCACATACCATGCTAACGAGGGGTACTTACTTGTTTCATTTTTATTCCCCACATTGAGCCACTGACATCAATGACAAAGAGGATGTTTTTGGGAATTGGATCCATGTTTTCAGGAGCAAAATAGTGGACAAAATATCCATTAAATACCTAAAAAACATAACATATTTGTGGGTCAAACCACTACCAACATTTGGAATGTAGGAAGTGGGGATCTGGGTACCAAAAGAGGAGAGGTGAGTCATGGTGAGCAGGTGGTATGATAGTTGTAAAGAAGAGAAGAGTGGTGGGTAGCTTGGCATCCATCTGTTTCCTCCTCCTTCCTTTCCTGTGAAGGTCCAAGCCCTCCCCAGGTTGTTTCACTTTTTTCTTGTCCTCCCCACTGTCCTCCACTCCCCCTGGTCTTTATTGACAGCCTCTGCCCCAGGCACACGTCTAGCCAACGGTGGATCAGGCACAGCCCCTGCCCTCCTGAGCTAGCAGGCAAGTGGAGGATCCAGACAAGGAAAGAGGCAGTTTGTAGCTCAGGGTGTTAAGTGCTACCATCAGGAATATAAAGGCTCCAAGAATGCCCTGTGGAGCAGCATCTAATTCAGAAAGAGGAGTCTTTCCCAAGTAAATGGCATCTACACTTCACTTGAATATGAGTTTGGAGCGAACCTGCCAACATGGGGTCTGGGCCAGGCTAGGCATGGGTAGGGTTGGGGCGGTAAGTTTCAGACAGTGCAGTGATGCTGCGAGTGAATGAGGCATGCTTGGGGCTCTGTAAGTGGTCAGCACAATGGAGCCACAGAATTCAAGCATCCAGGGAATCAGGGTGGAGGGTCAGCAGGGCAGATCATAGAGGACCTTTACGGGCACTCTAGAGAGTTCAGATTATTCTTGAGGTGGAAGGGAGGCCATTCCAGCTGGGTGCTTGATCACCCTTTTTGTCCTCTGCTGCAGGCTCTAATGATTGGCTCCTCTCATTCTCTCTCTACTGCTCTCTTGTTGCCTCTGCCAACATCTTATAGGGCTTCCCTGTAGGGTATGTAGCTGTGGGTACTTCCTACTCCCCATTTCTGGAAAGAGGCACAGGCTTCTGGATACCCTGCAAGGGCTCTACTTTAGCATAAGAGAAATACAAACACACACTTAAGACATGGCAAAAAAGAAAGGACAATTTTCAGAAACTCTCACAATGAACATCGACCCTGGAATTCATTCCTGGCCCCGATCTTTCTCTAGGCTTTTGTTGTGCCTTCCTTCCAGCCCCATGACTGCTTTCTTTGATAGTCTAGTTGCACAGGTCCTTGAAAGGTTAGGCAAAATTTCCATTTTGTTATTTTCTATTATTCTTCATATGAGACCTAGAAGCGCCCTTCTGGGACAAGGACATGAGACCCATCGACCCTTTATTCAGTTTTCATGATGTGAAAAGGTAATGTTTAGCGACAGGGAAATCCGATTTCAGTCCCTTCTTTGCAGCCTTGACATGTGTCTTGGCAGCTGGCAACTGCCCAGAGGCCAGGGAGTTTGTTCAACAAGAGACTCTTCTTTGGCCTCAGTGAGGTGGCTGTCCTGGAGTCTGTTTTCACCCACCTCAAGTTTCCCGGCACTCTCCTCTCTGTTCACGTCATACAATACCACCAGCTCTCCGTCCACTGCAGTCTCAGAGCAGTTGGAACATTTTCTTTGTTGAGCTACTGTAGGCTTGAAGGACACATGGGCCTGGAAAGAACAGCATTGTCAGAGACTAGTCCCTGTCCCTGTCCTTCTGCAGGTGAGGGGTTGACAGTTGTCCTTTCTCATGCCCATAGGAAAAGAGGTATGGCCCAATGGCCATTCTGCACCCAGACAGCATCATTGATTTTGCTACTCATGGAAGGGACAGTGCCAAGGCACGTCAGGGGAGCATCTGGCAGACTGTGGGGGCTGTTGACCGGGTTTCAGGACTTTTTGAACAGATTCAAAGAATTCCTCCATTCCCCCAGGGAAGGAATGGCTACGAGCTTTAGTTGTGAAAGGTTCTTAGAGGAATTTGACTCCTCCATAGTTGATTATTTTTGGCATTAAGACAGAGAGAATTAACCTGAATATCTCTTGCTGTGATTAATATAAATACACCATGCCGTATTTTTCCATGTATAACACGCAACAAAATTTTTGGCCCAAACTTTCAGGAAAGTTTTAATTTTTTAATTCAGTTTTGTTTGTTTCTATTTAGATACTTGTTTTTTGTATTATAAAGGAATTTTAGCATTCATTTTTTAACATATTGTGGTACAAGAAATTTTATGTAACAAATAATTACAAAACACAAGAACAGATACAAGGTATTTCAGGCACCACCCATGTATATGCATATCCTTATTTTTCCTAAAAAAAATTGGGCAAAAAAGTGCACATTATACATCGCAAAATATAGTGTGTTATGTGAAAGTGGCCTTTTAGTTACTGGTCAAGCAGAGACTTCGGTGAAATGAGGCTCTAAAAGGGACAGTCGCTGGCAAAAATGCAATAAAACCATTGGGAGTTTTGCTTTGTATATCCTGTGGAAGACCCTAGACTTGGCTCAGGGATCACAGCTTCTTCATATAGTTCCCTCAGCTCAGCATGTAGCCACTTTTCTATTCCCCAGGGAACAGGAGAAGAGCAGAACCCACATCTAGAGGCCCGTTAGACTCTCTGCAACATGCAGTGCTTGTGATTACCTTCTGGCGTCCTTTAGATATGACTGGAACACCATCAAAATGGCCATCAGATATATCAGGAACATGAAGAAATTTTAATCCTTGAGGTTCAATAATCCACACATCTACCTAGAGATGACAAAGAAAATTACTCAAATTATCAAAATATCTTTCAAGTCTTTTTGTGCAAGAAAAGTAAAACTGCTAAGCCCTCTGCTGGTTGTCTTTTCTACAAGTTTTCTCAAAGATGGCCCTGCATGGTTCCACGATCACTTCTGCATGTCCTTTAAATTCCCTGGGAAATGATGCATTTAACCATGGAGGCTGAAGGCTCTTTGGGCAACACAGTACTCACCTTTTATTGCTTCATTTCTTTAGGATTCATTCTATTCTATTCTATTCTATTCTATTCTATTCTATTCTATTCTATTCTATTCTATTCTATAGCATTCAAGTTGTTAGGACAAAAAAAAAAAAAAAAGAAGGAAATCCATTGTTAAATGATTCTGCATTTACTTTGGAGATCTGTCAGTAATAGACCACTTCCCCCACATCCTGGGCCTTTTTGTTCCTTTTCTGTCTTCTTGTCTTGAGCAGAGCTAATAGGAGGGAATCCCTCTCTATGGTCCTTGGCAAAAGCATAGCCATAGCTGCTATTTCTCTGTGTATAGTGTAAGTGCTATGCTGAGCAATTTATATGTATAAGCTCATAACTCTCACCAATGTTATTATTTGTTATTGTTATTATTTTTTATTTCACATCTGACAAAGGAGAAAAAAGAGATTCCAAGTGACCCAGCTAGTAAGTGGCCGAGACATGCTTCAAACCCAGGGCCCAAGCTCTTAGTGCTTTGTTCACTGTTTCTTGATTTGCAAAAGCTTCAGTCTGCTCCAGCTTTTCAGTTGACATTGCCGTTCTGATACTGTTTTTTTAGCCTCATGACAAAGCATGTGACAGTACCTTTTCCACATATGAAAACATGGACACCCAGGACAACTTGTCCCAAGTCAGAAGGCTGGTTTAGTGGGTTGAATGACAGTCCCCCCAAAGATATGTCTACATGAAGTCCCTGGAACTTGTGAATGTTACCTCATTTGGAAAAAGGTCTTCACGGGTGCATTCAGAATCTTGAGATGAGATCATCCTGTACTATCCAGTGGGCCCCAAATCCAATGACGACTGTTTTTATAAGAGAAAAGGCAGAGGGGGATTTGGGACACACAATGGAGGTGAGGTGATGACAGAGGCAGAGATTGGAGTGAATGTGGCCATGAGGCTAGAAGTCAAACAATGCCAGCAGCTGCCAGACGCTGGAGAAGTACAGAACAGACTCTCCCCTAGAGCCTCGAGGAGTGTAGTCCTGCCAACAGCTTAAGTATTTCAGACTTCTTTTCTCCAGGACTGTGAGAAAATAAATTTCTGTTGTTTTAAGCCCCCCAATTTGTGGTCATTTGTTACAACAGTGCTGGGAAACTGACATAGCTAGTAAGAAGCCCAGCTGGCATTGAAATCAGTAAGGAAGTGGCTTGGTGGACTCCAAAGCTATAACCTTTTCAGTATACCGAACTGTCTAGTAAGGATGAGTAGCATCAAACACCACAATGAGTGATGAACAACAGAACCATAAGCAGATGGTGTCACCGCGCATACTGCAAATCCATGCTTACCTCCAAGTGTTTGGCCAGCCGTCCTGGATGCAGATGAAGCCTGTGTTCATAGGACCCCAGCTTCCTCCACTTCACTTCTTGGTAATGAAGTTCAAACTGCACCTTTGCTCCAGGGAGGACGTTCACTTTGGTTTTGAAGTTCTCCATATCAAGAACATTGCTCCTAAAGATGTGAGCCTCCATTGTAAGTTATCACATGCATGACCCAGCATTAAGACCCAGAATCTAGGCAGAGGGCAGCTAGGCCTTTTTGGGCAATCACACCCGCTCAATTAAGCATGAAAATGAACAGTATATTAAAACCTCCATATAAATTGAATTCCATGAACACTTTTAGTCTCCTTTCTTACCTGATCTTTTTCTTCTAGAGCTTCTTACAGATTTGAAGGTCATTTGTAAAAAGCTACCAATTATTGATTCCTATTATGTGCCAGAAACTTGACGTATGTCATCATAGCTTGCAAAGCAGCTCTGCAAGATGGGTATCAGTCCCCTCATTTATCAGACAATAACAAATGAGGCTAATAGAGAATTGGTAGCCTGCTCGAGGCCACACGGCTATTCAACAGTAGGGCTGAGACTCCTATCAAAGTTTAGATAACTCCAAAGATACCACATGTTTCCTTTGCTGCACTGTAGACTCATTCTATGAACTCTTTATATTTTCGAAAGCCTCTAGAAAGAAGACATCTATTATTTCATCAAATTGAATATGTAGTTCCAGGATAAGGCCTTATTTAGTTATGCATATATATTAAGTCCAATATGATCACTGGTCTTGAAATATTTATAGTTTTAAAGAAAAATGATCAAATGAGGCTGATTTGAGCATCAGGACACACAATGCATATTTTCTAAAAATTAAATGATTATGTGAAAATGAGCCCATTGGGGATCGGGGAAGTGCTGCAGGGAAGTCGCTGTGGGATATCAGGTGCCTGAAGAAAAAGACGGGCATGGATGGTGCACACCTTGGAAGTACAGCATGCGATGAGGGGTCTTATTACCTGGGGAGAGGACTAGAACGTGAACTCTATGGTCTCTGTTGTATCTGCAGTGCCTAGAAGAGCTTCTGTTATTAATAAATACTTGTAGAATGAATAAATAACCGACGAGTGGACAATGTGGTCAAAATGATGGCTAAAGATGGCAAAATGATACCCTAAAGATAAAAGAACCTTTTAACTTGGATCAACATTGGAGGTGTTTGCTCCCTCTGTTTGGAATTTCTTCTCTCCTTTCCCCATCTGGATAAATTTTACAATCTATTTGTGCTCAGTTCAAACATCAGGTCCTCTGTGATGATTTTTCCAGGATCCCAGACAGAATTGTACACTTGAGCTCCCATAGAGTTTTGTATCCTCTCTACATTAGTACTCACCCCCCTATGTAAGGGGGGATCCCCCAAAACTAGAATTATCTTCTTGAGGGCAGACCCCTGATAGTACTGGCTTCCCCTGCTGGGTGAATGTTCTCGGAACCCCTCTGTATCAGTGTGCCAGCAGGCGTTGTTATGAGAAGCTACATTTGGCTTCAGTGAATTTTTTTTTTTAAGACTCAATTTGCTGGCCTACATCATGATGTGTAACTCATGAGTGCACCTGCCCACACCATGCTGTGTTCAGCAGTTTTTGACTAAAAATGGCATGACCTCTGTGCCCCACCCTCCCTATTCACCTGATCTCACCCTAAGTGACTTGTTTTTGTTTGTTTCCCCTGATGAAAAAAGTCTTCAAAGGGATACTTTTTGCTGATGTGGAAGAAATTAAACAAAAAATGGCAGAAGCACTAAAAGGCATCAAAATTGTTGCATTTGAAACTGTTTTGAGCAGTGAAAAAAAATCTTGATAGTTGTAGTGCATCAGATAGAGAGTACTTTGAAGGTGGCTGAAGTTTAAAAATGTAAAAATAAATGCACAATTTTTTATAAATAAATTTGCAGATTTTTTGGGTCCCCCAGTATATTATATGTAATAATACATAGTTAATATGTTATATATTATGACCATCTCTACATTACAGGTTCCTTGGCTGTCTTCTTCTCTAGCTGGCAATATTTGCTGCAGTGTCATTGTCACCTTTGCCAGAACTGTGTACAGAGCTCAATGAATTCTCACTGAATGAATGAAGACATGAATGAAATGAAAAGAATTTCAAGTAAAGGTAAATTTGGGGATGTAGAAGAGGTGGAGATGAAGAAAAAAGGATGGCAGAATATATGCAGTGTGAGAGGTGATTGGTTGAAAATTCCTTTGAAGCTTCTTGCTCTCAAGAGGCTTTCAGGTGGTTTGGCATTCCCGGTGTCTTAAGATTATAAGGAGAACAAAATAAACATAATCTAAGCTAAGTAACTGGTGCTGAGAAAAGGTTACACAATAAAAATAAGGCAGAATAAATCATTAAAACGAATTCCAAATCTTTCTTTCTGTGTACGTTTGACCCTCAAACAAGGCAGGCCACAGTGCAGTAAAAAATCTTCCTGCAACTTTTGACTCTACAGTCCACACTTCCTATCCACTGGTTTTGCATCTGCAGATTCAACCAGCTATGCATGAACTACAGTATTTTTTATCTTGGATTGGGATCCGTGGTTGAGAATGCAAAAATACTGTTTTTATCTGAGGTTGGTTGAATCTGCGGCTGTGAAGGGCCATCTGTATTCATTGAAAAAAATCCACATGTAAAGGGACCTGCACAGTTCAAACCATGTTGTTCAAGGGTCAACTCCATGTTTAAGTGTTGTCACCAGATCACTAATATTTCTGTAGTTGATCTTAGCAAATCAACATTAACTCTAGAACATCTAAATGCAAGCTATGTAAGGATAGCTCTGCTGTTGCAGAGAGGCCTTAGGGAATAGAAATTGGACCACCTAGCTCTACCACCTGACTACAACTTTGTGTGCCTTCCCGGACCTGTTGTGCTCTTGAGGAAGGGACTGGAGTGTGGGGAGACAGCAGTCGGGATGAGGGCACTGGCCTGCTGTCCAACCCTTACCTCACCAATCCGGCACTTTTGCCTTTTGCTCTTGCCTGTGAGTACAGCGCTCGGGCCACAGATTTCTCCTTAATGGAACTAGTGAATGTGGTGCCGTCTACAGTCCTAGAACATGACAGAAATGTACCAGTTGGTTTGAATAGTAAAGCAAATAAAAATAGCAAGCAAACAAAAAACAAGCAAACATGCCAACCAGATGAATTTACTGAATGGGGACAATGATCTTTTTGTACCTGGAGGAAAAGAGAAGAAAGACATTTGCATATTTCATACATGGGAGTCCCTTTATCTGAATGTAATTTAAGAGGGTCATGTAGGCTCCCATCCTAAAAGCTTTTTCTCACTACTGTTGCTTGTATTTAAAATGTTTCCTTGCCTTCAAATTTTACCCTTCAGATTAAGCATTGTTTTCTTTGGGTGTCTGTTTAAAAAAAACTTTTATTTTTTAAATTATGGTTGACATTCAATATTATTTCATAATAGTTTCAGGTGTATGGCATAGTGCTTAAACATTTATATAATTTATGAAGTGATCTCTCTATTAGCCTAGCACCCACTTGGCCCCCTATATAGATAATACAATATCATTGACTATGTTTCCTTTGCTGTCCTTTACATCCTTGTGACTATTTTGTAACTGCTACTTTATATTCTTAATTCCTTCACCTTTTTCACCGAGTCCCGCAATGCCCTTTCATCCTGGTAATCATCAGTTTGTTCTCTGCATCTAGGAGTGTGTTTCAATGCTGTTTGTTCATTTATTTTGTCCTTTAGATCCCACATATAAGTAAAATTATATGGTATTTGTTTTTCTCTGTCTGACTTATGTCACTTAGCATAATACTTTCTAGGTCCATCCATGTTGTTGTGAAAGGTAAGATTTCATTCTTTTTTTATGGCTGAGTAATAGTCCATTGTACAGTGTCCAGCTTGAGTGTGGTTGGTAGGGTAATAACATGGGTGTAATAATTTATAGTTTTAATTTGAACATTTCACCTAAAATGTCATATGGTGTCCTTTAGTGTGATATTGTTATGTTATAGAACTACATGCTTATGATTTTGTAATAACTAAGCTGTGTTATTTGTGCTGGACCCTGTATATATGTACCACATCTTTTTTATCCCTTCATCTACTAGTGGGCACTTAGGTTGCTTTGAGTATCCCTTTTGAATCACAAATGTGCGTAGAATAGGTAACAGATAAGTCATGTCATCTGGCTTACATTTGGTCTATAAGGTCAATCTTCTATGAGTTAAGAATCTGCCCCAGCCTGGGGACATTTGCTCTCCTACAAGGATGGCAGAAAGTAAAGAAAGCTGGAGGAAAGTGTTGGTGAATGACTTCTTTCAAAGATTGTGTTTACCCCTCTAACATCTCCCTTGAGCATCTCCGTCCTCTCTTTGCACTTCCATCTCCACTCATCTGAATTTTAGCTGGTTGTTATCTTATCCATACCAAGAAATGATTGGTCAGAACAGTTGAATTACAGAATTTTACAAATGAAGGGAAGTTTATGACACTCCATCTACCCATGAAGCAACTTAGAAATATGTGGAAAGGTTTTGGTTGTTCTGATGACTGAAAGTACTACTGGGATGAGAGGAGGGCACCAAGAATGTTAGAAATTCTGCAATGTGAGGGAGAGTTTTGCTAAAAATTTTCCTTCCCCAAATACCAATAGCATGCTTATTGAGGCACACTTCTAGGTTGGCCTCTTTAGATGAGAGGAATCAGAGCCAAGGAGACAAATGTCTTGTTCAAGGTCATATAGTTGGTCAGAGGCTGAGCCAGGACTGGACCTCATGTGCCTAGGTTAGCAATGTTTCTATCAAATCACACTAAGGTTCAAAGATTAAAAAGTCTTTAAGACAAAGGACATGGTTTCTAATGGTAAAATGTGTGGAACGTTGATAGAAAGGCAGAAGAAATATTTTGAATACGGAGATCTGCATGACTCTTATGAAATTGTGGTGATATAAGCAGCTATCCTCTCTTGTCTTATAAATTCAGCCTTGTGTTGAGGGAGACCAAAATAAATGTATATTCATTGGGTAAAAAAATGGGACAGATTTAAATTAAGTATAAGAAATAATTCTAACAGACCTATAAACATTTAGTGGATTGCCATGGTAAGTAGTGAGTTTATCATTAAGGAGATAATCAGATCAGGCCTGGATAACCCACTTGTCAGGGGTATAATAGAAGAAGTCAACCACTAGACAGAAGATAGGACTTAGTCAGTGGTTCTCATTTTTTTCCCCCATGGAGAAACATATGACAGGTGACACTAAACTGCTCTGTACACCTCACATATGGTTTTCTGGAAGCCAGGGCAACTTAAATTTCTCTCCCCTCAAGTACATCAAAATGCAAATAAGTGGGAGGTTGTTACCATAGAGATAGCTTAAGTTTACTTTGATTTATTAGAGATGAAAATCAAATCCTTCACAAATTCTGATGTTTTGAACAGACACAAATCATTAGGACCCACTTCACAATGACTCTTGACATCCAGTGGGTCCAACACTCTGAGAATGAGAACCACTAGAGCAATTGACCATTAAGGCCCAATCTAACTTTGATTCTGTGAGTAGAGCATGTCCAGTTTCTATTATATAGAAGTTACTCACATGGAGAAGTTGGAAATGAAGGCCCCTTTGGGAACCTGAATGTCAAACGCGACATCCTGAGGCTGTGGGGAGTTGTTCACCACTTTGGTCTGGATCATGGTGTTGGCCATACGAGCAGTAACAGTGGATTGGACTTTGTAGCTATAAAGAGTTACTTGATCAACATTTTCCTGTAATTGGCAAGAAAACATAACTGTACTCAGAGAAAAATTACGCAGAACTTCACTATATATTTGATGTGAAGAGCAGTATATTTTATTATGAAAAAGCCCAAGGCATTGTTAAGCATGTGAGCATGTGTCTGGTATTGTAAAGCATTATCCTAGCTTGAAATACACCCCAGGCAGAAGTCTGCCTTTATTTTGAGCTATCTTGAGATGCCTTTCAGCTCTGTAAGTCTATTAATAATGATTTTCAAAGTTAGAATATAAGTAGAAAATGGTTGTGGGAAACAAGACTGGATTGAGAAAGTCGAGGAAATAACTTCAAATGCAGGGTCATAGTGAGAAAAAGGACACAGGATTGACGGGGCGGTAGGGGACCTTGGCTGCATCTCCAGAGTGCAGCGCAGCCAGGAGGATGGTGGGCTGGAAGACACACATGGTCCCCATGCTGCTATCTACCTTCTTTGATTTTACACATTGCAATTTATTCTTGCCCTAATTTTCCTACCTTCCCCACATGAAAACAAAATAGTGAGAGAGCACTGATGGGTGTGAGCAACAAACAGTATCATTTTGATGCAGTTATTGGTCTGGCACTCTGAACCTTCTTTGCCAGTTTTTCTCTACTCATTTAAGGCAGCCCCAATGTAAAATACTATGAATATGATCAAAGGCAAAAGATTACAGACACATATCTTTTAGGTGGTGCCTGAGAATTGTAAGCTGCTCCAGGACTATGGCAGTTATATAGCCCTATTAGATTTTGCTTTTTTTCTTCAAACGGATTTGCTTATTTCAGTACTAGGTGTCATCCCCCAAACGTTCTCATTCACTATGAAACCTTTCAACTCAATATGCAGCTCAGCTCCAGCTAAGATAACACCAAGGCTAAGTTACTTGTCCTTCCTATGCCTTAAACCTGTGCTTCTCACCATTTCTGTCAGTTCAGAGCAGGAAGCCAATGCAAACCACTTCCTTTTGACGTTTTCTTGCCACGGGAAGCATGGCTTTGAACATCCTAGGGAGTCTGGTCACTTCATGTTTAAAAGTTCCTTTCCCTCTCACGCTGTGAGATGTCATATTTTAAATCAAAACCATTAAGTTGGAATAAATATATATGCTTGGATGAAATCTGTGTTGGCAAAACTTGAGAGAATAAAGAGAAAGGGCATTTTTAGCTCTTGATGCCATCTTTCCTGGCTGCAAGCTCACGGTTCTCTTTCATGCTGAGTTTGAGACTCACTTCCAAACAGAATTGGGCAAGGGAGTATTTCGAAAGTCAGGTAAACGCTCTCAGTGATGGAGACAAAGGAGGTAACAGTACTGATTTCTAGGTAATAGGTAACAGAAAAATCATTCGGATATTAATTTTTAACAAAATCAAAGTAAACTTACCGTGGTTTCTTCAGATTCTCCAGAAACACTTCTCTGTGAAAGGAAGTTAGATAATCATTCTTCAAAAGTATGTTACTGATACCTTGAGGGTAAAAATTGCTTTCGCTCAGTAAAAGTTTCTTTAATACTGAGCTGTAATTCATTCATTGGAGCCCATATATAAATATCAAACATTCTGAAATACCATTACTCATTGATGTGTTTCTCTGAACAAATTTCCCAGCCCCTTTTGGGTTACATACATATCAGTTTTTATATAAAGCTAAAGCAAATGTTTTTAAATGAAAATAGTCCACCGAACTCATGCCAAGTAGCATATATCACCTTTATTCTATTTGTCTGATTGATTTTTTCATTCAGTTGGATGGTTATTTTGGTGCTCTTTTCTACCACGGGGCCCTGGGCACACCATCCCCACTGTCTGCAATACTCCACTTCCAGGTCACCTCTGTCCCCTACCTCAATATCACTAACTTCTACTCATCTTTCAGATCTCAGCTCAGGCAGAATTTTTTCAGCAAAATTCTCTCTGACCGCCTGTCACCCTCAGGCTAGGTAAGCTTCCTTTACTAAGCATTTTATAGCAGCATAGCCCTTCTTCAATGCAAGTCAGAGGGAATACGTGTGTGTCTCCTCCAATAGAGTAGGCTACACCAGAGCAGGGATCTCTATGTGTTTTCTCCTTGGTGGAACTAAGCGCAGTGACCGGCATGGGGAAAATTCTGTGCTCTAATGGCTCTGCTAGGGAATTATTCACTGGAAAGGTTGTCCTGTGGGCATGGAAAGCTGAATGGCTTTAGAGTGATGGATAAACATTTAATGTCTGAGGGATTTTAAAATAATAAGGCAGATGTAGGCTTAACTTGCCTGATTTGGGGTGAACTGAGGTTTTAAGGGGTATTACATGATATAATGAGGTCAACAGATGCTTACTTTTAGATTTTTTTAGTGCAATTCTCAATGATTAAGTTTTCTCTCTTGTGGGTAGATGAAGACCCTGACATAAGGGTTTGCCTATAGGGTTTTAATACTATTGGTCTACAAAAACCTGGACTTCTAGAAAGTCAAAAATTCATAGCCATACAAAATAAGTCATAAGTCAGCTTAGGGTTGCTTCCACAAATACCCACTTCCTCAGGATATAGGTTGGAGAAGCCAAACCCTTCCTAGCTTCCTGGAGAACTCATCCCCACGAGTGAGAGGATTTTGTCCACCGCTGCTGCTGGGGGCTTCCAGGTGCAGCCCTCAGTGTGGCCAGCTGTCTGAGGCGCTTCCATGCTCTCCGAGCTACACTCCAAGAGAGCAGTGGCTGCAAGGAAGAGGAGGTGTGGCCGCAGTGGAAAAACCCTCCTAAGAGGGAATTCTTCCTCATCAGGCCGTAAAATCATCCCATAATCTTCAAATTTGCAGAAAACACATAACCATCTACTCTTTAAAGGACTAAGATGACCTCTACGGTATGGGGGCTCGCGGAGAGCTCTATGGAGGTCTCCCTTGATGTCACCTTGACAATGTTTCCACCTGGGTGTAAAACCATTGGGCTCTTCTCTGCCAAATTAAGGCTTTACTGTACCTGATGCCTCCGGTTCTCGGGCACAGATTGCAATTTGCCTGGGGCCAGTTCCACAAGATCTTCATATTCTACAAACTTAAAAAAGAATTTAGGATGCTTGTTTCTATTAATAAAAAAGATCAAGAGCAAAAGAGACAGCTGGTAACAGGCATAAAGCTATTCACTATATTATTTTATCTTATTTCCTGTACCTCTGGGCAGTCTCACATTTTTACACAATGATTTCTTAAATATGCTTACATTTGTAAGTCATTAATGGAAGGAATTCATTTCTGAGTTTTCTAGAAGATGATGAGACATAAAGTAGGGGTAAAAATAACCCTGTGATCAGGTAGATACCTGGGGAAAGGATTGGGTAAATCTTGGGAGTGTCAGCAGTGTCTGCCTGGATAAATGTGAACAGTTATCCATTGGGTTAATAATGCCTGTATAAAAAGAATACCAGTAAGAAGTGACTGAGAATGCACAGACAAATTTGGGTGTCTTGGCTTCAATTTTGGTAGTTTCCAATACACTCTAGTAGTTTTTAAATTGTTGGAAAATATGGTAGTTAAGCAGACAGAGTGATTTTTCCCCCCTGAAAATATGCTATTCTGTTTTTTTGGCATTTTTTGTAGGTAATCCACTCTGCAAGTATTACAAGCTGCTCCATATCCTAGGATATTCCCATAAGACACATTTCTTTTTTAGAAGATATTATTTATTTATTTTCAGGGAGAGGGGAAGGGAGGAAGAGAAGGAGAGAAACATTGATGTATGGTTGCCTCTCACGCGCCCCATGCTGGGGACCTGGCCCACAACCCAGGCATGTGCCCTAACTGGGAATCGAACCAGTGACCCTTTGATTTGCAGGCCAGCACTCAATCCACTTAGCCACACCAGCCAGGGTACCATAATGCACATTTCTTTTCTGGCATCAAAATAGCTCTTGGATGTATGACTTTCAAAATGACTCAGTCCAAGAATTTCCTCACATGGGGATGGGCAAAGGACTCAAGTGGAGACTTTGAGTTCTCAGAATAATTTCTGCACTCTTTCAGCCCACTTGCCATCTTTCCCTTTAACAGGAATATTTAACGTGCCCTTACTTTCAGAAATCATTGTCCACTTAGTTATGAAAAACAATAGTGCTCTGATAATGACTTTTCTTACACTTTTAGTATAACAGTGATAATGACACATCATCATCACCATCGCCATTGTCATCGTCGTTGTCATCATCATTATCATAGCTAATAATTATTAGATGCTTCCTAGTGTTTGTCCTGGGTAGGTAATTTACATATGTCATTAATTCTCAAACACCCTTCGAGTTAGATCATTTATTATTCCCATTTTTTAGATTAGAAGTGGGCAGGTGTACTCTATAAATGCTACATGATGTGGCCAGCACAATGACCTTGACTTCATCTTGTGCGAAACTGTTAATGCTTTAAAAGGTAAATACACAGTCCAGTTATTTACAACAGTGAACACTTCTATTCAGATGAATTTATCATAAATTTCCTTCCCACCCAGAATAGCCCTTGAATAGCAATAGCAACAAGTCAGTTCCTGAGCATATGTATAGGCCAACAGCAAGGAGGCTTCTGAAAGTACTCACATATGGATCCTCATTGATGGGGATTTTGAAGCCTTGCACCTCAGAAAGAAAGAACCAGACGAGAAAACCTGTGAGCCATTTCATCTTGCCAATGTCTCCAGTGCAGGGGCTGGGGGAGTATTCCACCCCTCACTGAACCAAAGTTCAAAGGAGCAACAGAGGAGTACAGTTCGTTCTTAAAAAGTAGAAAAATGAACAAGAAAGCTCTCAAACTTTGTTCAAAAATGGGACAAATATTTGTTCTGGAGGGCAGGCTTGAGTTGTGGGGGTGGATCTGACACCTAGAGGTTATTCAAACAGCAAAGCCGGAGGCAGTCACTGGGCTGTGAGAACAAGTCAGGGTCGATGGACGAGCTGCTTCTGGGGCTGTTTTTTTTTTTTTCTCCTTCTTCTTTGCTGACTTTTGTTCCTCTTAAAATCAGAGAGACCTAAAAAGTATCATCCTTTTTGCGGGACAAAGTGAGGAACTATATTGAGTAATAGAGTCAGAGAGATAAAAAAGCTAAGTGAAGTTTTTGGAAATAAAATCCTTTGATTTACATGGAAACAGGAGGAGTCTAGCAAAAGTGGGAGATGAAACCAAAAGCTTTCCTGAGCAAAACATTCCTTGTCAGTGTTTTCTCTCTCTATGGTAACTGAGTACCTATTACAAGCGAAGAACTGGGCCAGCAGCTGTGCCATATACACAGGCATTCTCTTCAGTGAGGACTCTTCATGAAAATGTGGTTAAGAGAACAGTGTGTGTTCCTGCTGCCCTGATCAGCCTTCATCCAGGTCGAAGGCATATCAATTCTCCCCAGTCCCACAATCAAGGGAAGCCCATCCTGGGAGCAGAGTGTATTCTTCCCTCTTGTTCAGAGTCTGGATATAATAATAAAGTCAACTAGGATTTATTGAGCTCTTCCTGGTGCTAGGCACTTCTATTTTCACGATCTTTAATTCTTCTCTTTTTTAAAAATCTATGCAAGTGCCATGTGAGGAGTGTACTGTACTTATCCTCATTTACAAATGAGGGAAATAAGGTTAAATAATTTATTGCACATTTCACAGTTGGTAAGTGGAGACAAGATTCAAGGTCAGCCTGACCCCAAAGCCTTTGTTTTCCATGACTGTCCAAGGGAGGTAATCTGCCATCCGTCATTGGGATCCGATGTCCCAGGTGTGAATTTATATGAGATTTTGCTGTATTCCCCAACTTGGGTGACAAGTCTACTTGACAAGCTCCCTTTTGTTTATCCTCACCTGAGGATATTTTTTTCATTGCTTTGAGAGAGGGACAGACAGACAGACAGACAGAGATGAGAGAGAAACATTGATTGGCCACCTTCCAAGCACACCATGACCAGGAATGGAACTTGAAATTTAGGTATCTTCCCTGACTGGTGTTGAACCCACAGCCTTTGGTGTATGGGACCAGGTTCCCACCAGTCAGAGAGACAATTGGTGCCTCTACTACTCCACACATTCACTCGCCCAGATTTAGCACCTAGTCATAGACCTGATGCTGGGAACCTCTACTATCTAAGGAAACTTGTCCCCACTTGGAAGAGGAAGTTGGCCATGGCCTCTGAAACATGAAGACATAGGGCCGTTTCCACCAGATTCCTGTCTGACTAGACTCAGCAGGTTCCCTTGCACCTCAGAGAGGCACTGAGAGGATTACATACAACACAAGATAAATAAGTAGGTCAGCTGCCTGAGATAGCTTTCTGATTTGGTTTGAAGGAAAATGGTTTAAAGTTTATTTCAAAAACAATTCTAGATGAAAAGAGAAAGTAAAAAACAATGCTAATAAAAGAGAAACTTATGGATTAAAATATGTAGGATGGTATTTTAAAAACTACAATTTTATTTATTATATTCAAGCACAAACCAAAGATAATTTGAAATATAAAGTAAAAATAGATTAAATTTATCTGTAAAATTATAAAGGGTTACTGATTTTTTGAAAAGGTCAACCACATTCTGTTTCTAAAAATTACACATTATCTCCAACAGACAAAAACATAATAAAGATTGAGATTACCTTAACATCTCTTCTATTTACAGTATTTTAAATACTCAAAAACAGGGACTACAAAGATGGTATCAGGTTAAATGATGTCATAACAAATAATAAAAAAAATCAGAAGAGACCAATAAATCTAAGATTAGAAATCAACTATTTGGGAAAAGGAGATGATAATAAAATAAAAATTTTAATTAGAAGAAAGTGATAGATCTGTCCAAGTCTATAGAAGCAGAATAATAAATTAAATACAATAAATTAAAAATAAAATGAAGTATATAATGATTAACATGAAAATATATACTTTTTAAAATCCTCATCTGAAGATATATTTATTGATTTTAGAAAGAGAGGAAATGTGAGAGTGAGAGAGAGAGAGAGAGGGAGAGAGGAGAGAAACAGATGTGAGAAACTTCGATCTGTTACCTCCCGTTCGCGTCCTGACTAGGGATCGAACCTGCAACCTAGATATGTGCCCTGATCTGGAGTTGAACTTGAAACCTTTTGGTGCACGGGATGATGCTCCAAATAACTGAGCCACCTGGCCAGGGAAAGCTATTTCTATAATAAATATAGATATTATGAATAGAGATATTGACCCATATGTCAATATCTTATATGAGATGTAAAATATTTTAAATGGCCCATAATATAGAGGTAAACAGACCAAATACAGAGAAAGAAATAAAAAAGACTATTGAGCCTGACCATTTTTTTTAACTTCATTGGATATATAATATCTGTGCGACATTCAGAAAGTGATAATGTGGTTTTTAATTAATTAAATGAGGAAGGTATTGTTTTTACCTCCCAAATCTGAAAAGTACAACACACACACAACATTTAGGACCAATATATCTATTAAAAATAATAAATACGTGGCAAAAGGGACGCAGGAGGGGAACGAGAGGGTGGGAGTCGGAAGAGGAGGAAGAGAGTTGGGGAGGAGGCGGCGGCGCGGCCCTGGGGCTCCGCCGCAGCGGCCGGCCCGGAGCGAGGACGCGGACCGCGCCTCTCTTCCTCCTGCCGGGCCCTTGTTTCTCCCCACGTCCCAGAGTAGGCATCGCGCCGCGGCCCCGCCGCTGGAGCGCGAGGACAGCCGGGCCTTCCCTTTGGGGAAGATGATCACAGCTAAACCCGGGAAAACACCGATTCAGGTATTACACGAATGCAGCAGGAAGACCAAGAACATCCCTGTTCTTGGAGGTGGAAGATCCAGTGTCAAAGTGCAGGTGCTCACTTTCTCCGTCAGAGTAACCGTCGGTGACAGAGCCTGCACAGGCGCAGGGACCAGGAAGGAGCTGGCGAAACGCGGAGCTGCGAAGGCTGCTGTAAACGTTTTGAAAGCCAATCAGAGATTTGCTTTGCAGTTCCGACCCCTTGATGCCTGGCCCTTCCAAGCGACCAAAGAACCAGCTTAATCCTATTGGTTCATTACAGGAATTGGCTCTTCATCACGGCTGGAGACTTCCTGAACATACTCTTTCCCAGCAGGGAGGATCTGGTCTTAAGAGTGAACACACCACAATTTGCAGGCTAGAGTCATTTATGAAAACTGGAAACAAATCAAGAGAAATGCTGCTGAGAAATTTCTTGCCAAATTCAGTTATACTTCTCCAGAGAACCACATTTCTTGAACAAACGTGGTAGGACATTGTTTAGGATGTCCTTGGCATTCCTCTAGGAATTCTCCTGGTGAAAAGATCAACCAACTGAAAAGAAACCTCCTCAGTATTCCAAATACAGATTACACGCAACTGCTTAGTGAAATCGCCAAGGAACAAGGTTTAACTGTAACATATTTGGGTACAGAAGAACTGGGTGCCAACGGGCAGTATCAGTGTCTCGCGGAACTGTCCACCCGCACCATCCATCACAGTCTGTCAGGGCTCTGGGATCTCCTGTGGCAACATACACAGTGATGTGATGCTGCTCACAACGCTTTGCAGCATTTAAAGATAACAGCAGACAGAAAGTAAACTTGGAGCAACTTAGAAAATCCTTCAGCAGCACATAGAAAATTCCTCTTTCACCTCTTCCCAAGTACAGTGTTTAATGTTTCAGTTTGTGTGTTGTTTCTAAATCTCTCTCATAGATTCCATCAACACTACAGATTTAGTTATCTCCTAGTTGTTATTACACTCTTTTTAATGGTTTCAACCTTGTATTTGTATATTGTCTTTATAAACTTTGTACCATAGGCAGAGTGTAGCACCCATTTGACGATGTCATGTACATAGAAGGAGGAAACTGCACGTGTATTGATGTTGATGGAGATGATCAAATAAAACTGCTAACAGTCTTTCTTACTGGTGCTTAACTTCTTTGTGCAAGCTTTGAGAAGGGAATAGAAAGAAGCCCCTTAGAATTAGAGTGTTGAGGAGTGCATTAACAGGCTCATATTGAATGTGATTGTTAAATGTCAGGGAACATGATTAGTCTGCTGTGTATGTCAATCCATATAATAAAGAGTTGTTGTTATAATGGGTCATACTCATTTTACTAAAGTGTTACTGATGTGAAAGACTTAAGAAAATAAAAAAAATGATAAATATGCTTCTGGAAAACATTTTGATACCATGAAAGAATAATTCATTATAACTGAGAATAGATTAGTTTAAGAAGTCAAGGCTGATATTACACAGGTAATCTTATCAAAGTAAAACTTCAGTAAAAAAACACTAAAAATTATTTCACTGCCTCAATAGCTATTGAGAAGTCATTTGATAAACTTCAAAATTTGTTTCAGATTAAAGTGTTAACAATATTTGTTTTAGGAAGCAATCTTTTTAACATGACAGGAGGCGTGCGTGTGTGTGAAAGACTATTCAGAAAAGTCACTTCTTTCTTAAAAAGAGAAACCAAAAGGTTAGGTTTCTGCATAAGAAATCACATCCTGTGGTTTTTAAACAATAAGAATTATGCTTAGTTCTTTAGATTCTAAAATATATTACAAAGCATGGATTAAAAAATATGGCTTGAGGCTTAAATATAGACACAAATCAAAGCAATAAAATAGTGAGTCCAGAAATGCTTCATATAGAATATAATATAAATCTAAAGCAACAAAATAATGTGGAATGAATTCAGTCCTAATAATCAATAGTAGTGAAACAATTAGATAGTGGTACAAAGGAACTAACTTTAATTAAACCCTTCCCTCCCTTGTCTAGGACGGACTGGGTGAGCTCCTAGCCATGT